TGACCCCATGGGATGCCTGAAGACTCGAGTGTCCAGGAATGCCACTCGGTTGCTTTCTGCTCCCCCGCTAAAAGTGACTAACTCTAGTAAATTAATGGAAAGCCCATTGGTCGGCAAAAAGTAAAGTCCTAACATCCAAGCAAAATGCACCAAGGGCCACAAAGACAAAGTGACAAAGGCTTGCATCTTCTACCCAGATGAAGAAAATGCTGCGCCTGCCACGAAATCTGCAAGCGAGCTCCAAAGTGCTGCGCCTGTCACGCAAAACGGGGCCCCCAGCCACGCTCTCGACAACATCCAGTCCCTTTAGACGCATGCCAAATTCTGCCCCTCCCTGGGCATCGGGTATTGATTCTAATCAATCTGACAGTACTATAATTTATTGATATTGATTTGCATCGTTTTTTTTGATTTTTCTAATATGTTTTGTCTGACCTTTGTTAGCTGTGTTTTTGCTTCCAAATATTGATTTGAATATTGATTTGGATATTGATTTTACATTTCTTGCTTTCAACTGAAAAGGCAGGTGCTGCAGATGCAACCCTTTAGGCTCAAGCATCGAGCTTGGACCCATTCTTGACGAAAGAAGTGTTCTTGACAAAAGAACGCTGTACATTTTGTCCTCCTTGACAAAAGGGTGTCCTCCTTGACAAAAGGCAATGCCCAAGCATCTGGACAATAGAGGTGGGCCCAGGCATACAATAAAGCCACAAGTGGATGAAGGTTTGCTGCTGAAAGTATTCAGCCTTCACCAAGACCTGCTGCAAGACTTTGGTGTGTATGAACACATATCAAAGAGCCAAGCTGTGAACCCCAAGGGGTTATTCAAGCTGTTGCCCTTGACAAAGGGGCTGCTGGAGTTGGAGCCCCAAGCAGAAATACACAGCCAGTGCTTGAGAAATTCCATTTTTCAGGTACTGTTGAAGGAGCCCTCTCTCAATGACACCAAGTTTTCTGGCAGTGTTTGGGTGGGGCTGAGGGTGGAAAGAATTGGGGTGCTGCTATACCACATGAGGAGGCTAGCTGCTTCTGACTTGAAATCTTGTGCTGCGAAGCTTACTGGGCCTGATTATCTGCAGCTGAGAGAAGTTGTGGGCCAGATCATCACAAAGCAACCGTTGCAACAGCATGAAGAAACCCTGCCCATTCTCTACTCCAGAGGGGTGGCCTCACACTTGGCAGGGAGCTTGATCCACTACCTTTGCTACTATGACTGGCCAAAAAGGCAAGCTGTTCCGCCTACACAAAGGCTTGCAAAGATCTTCTCCAAAATCAGAGAGCTTTACTCTGAGAAGCAAGTGCCCAACAGGATGACAAACATGAGGCTGTCCATGCTGACAGATACCACAAAGCCCCACAAAAGGCCTCCATGTTTGGAAGCAAAGGCTGCAGAAACCAAGTGGCTCTTGCCATGCTTGGAAGCCTTGCTGGCTGAAGTTCTTGATCCTGAAGAAGACCCTATTCATAGCACAATGCTGGAGTGCATTGGTGCATTAAACCAGTTGATTAGCAACATGGACAACATTAGTGCCTTCCCCACTGCCTCTGAGTACAAAGTGGTTGGTCGCCTTGCCAAAAGGTTTTTTGATTGCTACCAAGACCTCCATGATTGGGCCTTGGCAAAAGGCAGAAAGCTGTTTCATATAGTTCACAAATTTCATTCTTGCAGGCACTTGTTCAAAAACACAAGATATCTCAACTACAGGGCCCACCACAACTTCAAGGCTGAAGATTTTGTTGGGCAAATATCCCAGCTTGCCCACAGCTGCGGCTTTGGAGTGGGCTCTACAAGGCTGCCTGCCAAGATTATGGAAAAGTACAAAATCCTAGTACACCTTCAGCTGACCAAGCCTGGCTTTGGCTTTGTGATGGAAGATGATGGCTGCTAGTTGCCCTTGACAAAAGGCTTTGCCTCTTCAACCGTATCTTGACAAAAGAAAGTTGCCCTTGACAAGGGGGTACCTCTTCAACCATTTCTTGACAAAAGAAATGAGAAATTGTTTAAAGCAGCTTGTTCAGCTTAAGCCTTTTGACAAAAAAGGTAGAGCTCATTTTGACCAGCAGCTTTTGACACTTAAAGTGCAACCTGTTTGCTGCTCCCCTGTTGACAAAACAGGAGCAGCTGGCCAAAGACCCTGCTTTGATTTGGGCTTGAGAAAAGCTGCTCAAATATTTTGATTTTAAAGGTCGGATGTATATTGATCTAAGAGGCTTTCAAATCAATAATTTGCAACTGGAAAAAAATCAATATCAATATGAGTTTGAGAATATTGATTAGAATCAATACCCGATGCCCAGGGCTGCTTCGCAAACACACACACACACCCAGATGCATGAAATGCTGCGCCTGCCACGAAACCTGCAAGCGAGCTCCAAAGTGCTGCGCCTGTCACGCAAAACAGGGCCCCCAGCCGTGCGCCAGACTACATCCAGTCCCATTAGACACATGCCAAACGCTGCCCTTGCCACGCAGACACACACACACACCCAAATGCAGAAAATGCTGCGCCTGCCACGAATTCTGCGAGCGATTTCCAAAGCGCTGCGCCTGTCACGCAAAACGGGGCCCCCAGCCGCGCGCTCGACAACATCCAGTCCCTTTAGACAGTGAGTGAGTGAGTGAGTGATTTGATCACACCAAGCGGCCACCTAAAACTCCATTGGAGGGTGTCGCCTCTTAAGGATACCTTTCTGAGCTGGCTTACAAGGGGGAGAAAAACTCACAGATTTTGAGGTCTTCCCACTGAACGGAAATGCCAGTTGTTGCCACAATGGTCTATATAAAGGTGCTAAGGTCACACCAAAGACCAACCATGAACAAAACTCAGCAAACAACCTTGACCAGTTCCTACCCCTGGTGGCTTGGTCGATCATCTGTTACAAACTCGGAGCCTTGCTCCTAGAGGATTTGAGGTGTTCTTCCTTTTGGCTGGCGGGCCGCTGTTTGCACGCTGAGCAGAAGATACCTCCCAAAAATTACCCCAAATTGATGGGGAATTAGTCACCCTGCACATCAACATGGCACCTAAAAGGGGGTCCCCAAAAGAAGATTCCTCTACATACGTGTTGGGTTTGGAGCTTCATGTTAATCTGTAGGGGAATCTGCAGGGGAACATCCAAGAACTAGGGCTTCATACCAAGGCATTGCAAAATAAGTTTAGCTTTTCATATTTGCCTCTAAATTCGGCCTTGTCACTTCGCCATGAAATAATCCACCATATTTTGCATTTCTGCGCACAACAGTGCACCGCGAACCAAGGATGCGGAAAACTTACCCATACCAAAGTTGCTGATTCCCATGACTACTTCGCTCTCCAAACAAAAAACAACTCAGACGGGCCGTGCCAGACGGGCCGTGTCAGACGGGACAGCGTAGAGCACGCAGGCCATGCGAAAAGGGTGCACCTTGACTTCGATAGTTCCCCAAACAGATTACTGTTGGGATTCCTAATTCTTGCTAAGAATTGATGCTGTCACGTGATGGTCTGGCCTTGTCTCCCGGCTTGTTTCCTCGGTCAGCCCTTTGTCTCCCCACTTGTTTGCATTTGTCTCCCCGCTTGTTTTCTCACACGCTTGCTGGGCTGGATGCTGTCACAAGATGGTCTGGCTCGGTCAGCCCTTTGTCTCCCCACTTGTTTGCATTTGTCTCCCCACTTGTTTCCTCACGCTGTCACAAGATTGTCTGGCTCGGTCAGCTCTTTGTCGCCCCACTTGTTTCCATTTGTCTCCCCGCTTGTTTCCTCACGCGCTTGCTGGGCTGGATGTTGTCACGAGATGCTCTGGCTCGGTCAGCTCTGTGTCTCCCCACGTGTTTCCTTTTGTCTCCGCGCTTGTTTCCTCACGCGCTTGCTGGGCTGGATGATTTCCTCCTCATGGTCTGGCTCGGTCAGCTCTTTGTCTCCCCACTTGTTGTCTCACTTGCTGGGCTGGATGCTGTCACAAGATGGTCCGGCTCGGTCAGCCCTTTGTCTCCCCACTTGTTTCCTCACGCGCTTGCTGGGCTGGATGCTGTCACGAGATGGTTTGGCTCAGTCAGCTCTTTGTCTCCCCTTGTTTTTTTTGTCTCCCCGCTGGTTTCCTCACGCGCTTGCTGGGCTGGATGCTGTCACAAGATGGTCCGACTCAGCTGCAGGGTGCTGCTGCGGGTGCTGTTGCAGGGTGCTGTTGCAGGGCGAGACTCAGACTTGCCCAGGGTGCTGTTGCAGGAAGCTGCTGCAGACATGTTGCCAGGTGCTGCCGCAGGCCGGGACTCATGCAGGGTGCTGTTGCAGGTCGAGACGCGCAGGGTGCTGCTGCTGGGTGATGTTGGTGCTGTGGCAGGGCGCTGCTGCAATCCCAGACTCAGAGCTGCAATCCCAGACTCCGAGTTGCGCAGGGTGCTGCTGCAAGGTGCTGCTGCAGGCAGGGTGCTGCTGCAGGGCGAGACTCAAGAGTTGCGCAGGGCGCTGTCACAAGGTGCTGCTGCAGGGTGCTGTTGCAGGGTTTAGGGCGCAGGGTGCTGCTGCAAGGTGTGTTGGGTGCTGCTGCGTGCCGAGACTCAAAGCTGCGCAGGGTGCTTTTGCAAGGTGCTGCTGCAGGGTGCTGTTGCGCGCGGTGCTGTTTCAGGCCGAGACTCAGGATTGCTGAAGGCCGAGACGCAGAGTGCCGGAGCTGCTGCAGGCTGAGATTCAGAGTTGCGCAGGGTGCTGCTGCAGGCCAAGTTGCACGGGGTGCTGTTGCAGCCGTAAAAACATCGGCTGACTAGGGCTGAGTGTGTGTGTGTGTGTGTGCTGAGAACAACTCCTGATGATGCAATTGAGTGCGGTTCTCACTGTTTGGGGCTGATGATGGTGTAATTTATATAAGCAAAACACTCTCCAACAAAACAGGAAAACCAAACACGTGCCATGCTCTCCGGGCTGTTCCAAATGGAGTGTTGGCCAACCCCCAAACTCTTCACCAACATCCACCAATGACTACAGAAACAGTACCAAGGCAGCACAAAGCTAAGTTATACTACTAGTAAGCCAATGCTAAATCAGAGACTACTTGAGGGAGCCAAATCCGAGCCCTAAATTAAGTTGGCTTCCTCTATCGGGCACTTTGTTGGGGGGCCAGTTTATAAATCAGTCACACACGCAGAGGATTCAGGATTGGCTTTCAGCCCACTTTCTGGCCAGCGTCATGGAACTCCAAGCCCACTGTAAATGGAACCTGAGTTTTTGAACTTGCCAGAATCACGGGTCTGTCTTCTTTTTGACCTCAATCATGGCAACGGTTTCCTTCTGGTTTCCCTTTAAAACTCACCAAAAAGGGTACCAACTCCACACAAAGACGAGCCACTAGGAGACAGGCACGCCCCAGGGCTCCGGCGACATGCTGAGCCGCCTGGCCACCTGCAAAAGGACGAAAGGCGAGGCCATTTGGAGCACCTCTGGCGGGAAACAAAAAGGAAACCAACCATTTTCAGCGATACCCATCCTTTGAGACAAACATCAGTAGGCTGTTAAGCAAACTCCACTTGGTAAATTCCGCAAGGTTAAGGTTGTAGGGTAAATCATGTCTTCCATTTGCTTAAGCTGCCTGAAAGCAAAAGAAGTCCGGCAGTGATAGACTCCCTTTAAACTCAGCCAAAGGAAACAACAAATATTCTTAAGCAAATGGAAGATTTTCAGAGATCCAAATCCTTTGAGACAATCAATAAGCTGCTGAGAAAACTCCACTCCGTAAATTCCGTAAGGTTGTAGGGTAAATTGCAGGGGACATAGTCACCAGGGCTTTGAACCACTAATTGGCCGGGTCGTCCAAGTTGGCAAGTTCGTCCAAGTTGGCAAGTTACTATATATATATATACACATGTGTATATAATATACATATATACACACGTGTGTCTATTTGAGGGTGCCCTTTTCGGGTTGGTGTACAGAAGCGCAAATCAACATCTGCTCGCCTGGAAGTTTTTCAGGACGGGTTTCCCATCACCCCCGAACTGCGCAAGTGTCTCATTTTGAAGCAGCCCCAAATGCTAAAAAGGACCCTTAGGAAGCAAACAAGGCAAACGACAACTAGGTCCTCCAGTAGAGAGGTTAGAATAAGGGTACCAACTTCTTTTTCAGTGGTCTTTTTTAGTAGGGGAACCCTCCCCGAAAAAAGAAACGGTAAAAGGGCACCTAGCTGGGGGACCTAGACAAGCGCACGACTTGAGAGGAAATACTTGACCTGAACCAATCAAGAAACAGTGCTAACAGCTCCAAGCCTTCACATGCAGGCATGGTCAGTACAAAACTGCTGGCAATCGAACAATATGGCTTTGCCTCAAAATGGCTGGCGTCCTTTTCCTTTTATATGTCCCTTTCAAGCCACAAGGAGTTCCCCAAAACACCCACACAAACAAACACACGCACATCCAAACCCATGTAGAACATGTGTTGTCTTGAAGAGGTTGCTGGTTGCAGCTCAGCAACTTCCGAAATCTTTCCTGGGGTCCTGCTTTGCAAACACACCACCAGGAAACCCATGTGGGCCTGTGGGCGTGAATTTTTGTTTGGGGACCCTTGCGTGGACATCTAGGTTGGGATTGATGTGCACCTCCCCATTTGAGGGAGTTCCCTATTCAAATCCATGGCCAGTTGTTGTTCAAGAGACCATGCTTGAACATCTTCAGCCTATACAATAGCACCTGGCGCCGCACGCCATGTTCAGCCAAGCCGGAGAGCGAGACCCATTTGTAGCAGGGCTGAGAAAGAAGACGTCAGTCCTCTTGAAAATAAAGACCCCATTCGTCGCGATCGCAACAACCAAGTGACAGCTCAATGTTCGAGCAACCCTGCCCAGAATGGCTCAGAGGTGAACCCCAGCCATGGGCTTCCCGAAATTACCTCAGGCAAGGTCTGGAAACCTTAGGTCTTAAGGGGTTTCCTTTGGATCAAAGGGGAATCGGTTCTTCGGACATCCCATGTGGTTTCCCTTAAGCACACAAATTCCGCCCGTCGACGGTGACAACATTCCTGCCTGGCCGAAGGCTCGCCTGTCGACGTTTCCAGGGTCAAAACCGTTTTGGGATCGGATCCCATTTTGGGGTCGGTGAATTCACCACCCATTTTAGAACCTAATTATTTTAGTGGGGATTGAATCGGATGTTCACTGGGGGTACGATTTGGACTTTGACCCATAGCCATTTCCCTTTTGGAACCTCCAAAAGTAGCGATCTCAATGGACACCACCAGTAAATTGCAACCCTGTTTAAGCAATCTCCTTGTTTCGCTTTGGGCCGGGGTCATTTACACACTAGGGTTGATTGCCCGTTCTGTTCATGGTCCTGGTCAAAACCCGGCCGTTTCCCCTCTTGCTTTGTATTCCGGAAAGAAGGATCCGTGGGCAGAATGGGGAAGTTACCCCTACTTTTCAGGCTATGCTTCAGGAATACCACCCCATCCCAAATAAATCTGCACGGCACAAGGGGTTCTCAGAGGTTGATGACTCATATGCATTCCAGCCTAGGGATGCAAAAACACCTAGGCCCAGTGTCTAGCAATTCTCTTGATCGTTGGCGAGAAAAACACCAACATTTGTTTGCCTCTAAAACGGTCGTCTTAAAAAGCGTTTGACGTCAGGAAACTGTGAAATTGAGCACTTCAGAAAGCTTGTCCCTTGAAGTTCGAGCCATTTTCTGAAACCAAGACAACCAAACCAACATGTGCTGATCCAACACGGGAACCTCTCACCAACCCCTGCGGTGTTCCTCAGATTGGACAAGCAGGCCACAGCTTCCCAAAGCGGTCAACTTTCAGAAGCTCACAAGGCCTCAGATTCACCTGGAACTCATTCCCAAACCCCGCCCGTTCTCAGAGGATTTTTGTTTGTTGGGGAGCCCTTGTTTGATTCCAATCTGCCCGTCAAAAGGACTCCAGCCCATGGATTCGCATCGCCGCTTCAGATGGACCCAAATGTTGGGCCAAGCCCTTTTTGGACATGTGGGTGTGGCTTAAAATCTTTGGGTTTAAAATTTAAAACCACCCCGAAACGAATACCCTCAACAAAAGACACACCCATGTTGAAACAACCGCCCTTCTCGAGACACTTTGAAGGGGATCGGATTGTCAGAACACTCAACTGGCGCGCCTGGCTTTCAGAATTTTTGAGGCAGCGCGGCAAGCGCGCGGTTGCCTGAATCGCCGCAGGGACTCCTAAACAATGGCTGGTTTCCCTATCCCTGACTCTTACCTGAAGCTTTGGGGGGGGGGGTGATGTTTTAAAGCCATTGTATTAGACACCTTGCTATTCGTGCTGGAAAGAGGCAACATTAGGGTACCTTTCGTGGGTTGACCATGGTGAGTCAGAAACTGAATAACAAGGAACCAAGGCAAGCGAACCAACCATCTCCAACCGCGCGCCCGTAATTTGTGGGGCTTTCCACTTAGTCCCTTTGCATTGAGTGGATGCATCATATCATTGCTTGGAGAACGTATACACATGGGTGTGCCAATTTTTGGAAGATTGAGGTTTTCCTTTTGGTTGTCCTTACCCCCGAAACAAGGACACCCCCAAAACAAACAGACCCACATTTATATCTCTTGTCCGGGCTTGGCACCAACCATGAGATCTTGCCAGGATCTCCTTGTCCAGAGCGTATCTTCCCAATGCCTTTGAGGGGTCCTTCTTTCCCCCAGAGGAAACAGCTGGAACCATGGGTAACAACAATGGGGAAACGAGCCCTGCATAGACCTCGGGGGGCTTGATGGTTTGGTGTTCAAAGTCTAGGACCTCCGGTAGAGAGGATAGAATAAGGGTACCCTTTTTTGCTGTAGTCTTTTTTAGTGGGGCTCCCCAAAAAAAGAAACGGTAAAAGGGCACTACTGGGGGACCTAGATGTATATTCAGGCGATGCGGTGACAGCGGTGTGTTGTCTTTGACCCTTGCCTTGGTGTTTCAAAGGGCGACCACAGGGAAACACTCCATTATGGTGAGTTCCTTGAGACACACCCATGTGGGTAGAACCAAAGAACCACATGCTCTAAACACCTTTTGAGTTTCAGGTAATGAACTGGATTCGGATTTGAACCCCGGGCTTTTGTGGGAAACCAGCCCCTAACCACACCTCCCAACCACCGACTCGGCTCCAAACAACCCGCCTGGAGCACATTAGTTGCTGGCTCTTAGTAGAGAATGTGGTAATGAACCCAGGCTTTGGTCCCCTTACAGGAAACAACCAGTTGGATGGTTTATAGGGGTCATTCCATTCTCATTCCCTGCTGAGCAGCAAGATTGGTTGCCCTGGAACCCCTCCAAACCACCAACGCCCAGCTGGAAAAACATGAACACCCTCTTGGATCTGGCGATATACGGGAAACAAAGGCTTTACCCAGCGGAAGCTTTGCAGTACTTTGCTGTTGGCCATCGGAAGGGACCCTCTCAAGCTCCTTCAACCCATGTGGAAATCCTTCCCTCAATTTGACCCCTTTTCAACTGTAGGATTCTGAGGTACTTGTACAAGGGCTATATAGCGCCACGCCGACATATCAGAGGGACTCGATACTCCGTAATTCCAAAATTCCTATTACATTAGAAGGCGCTTGAATGTTGGTTCCCTCTAGATTGGATAATTTGACAGTTTGGCTTCAGACTCCCTAAACGATGGGCAGCTGTATGCAACCGTCACCAACATACTGTGGATCGAAACCTTGCACCTCTACACGTAGAAGTCATTCTTTCAGAAAGGGTGACCACTCTCGGAAATTGGCGACGGATTATTGAATTTTGGACTCTTTGGTGGACATCACCAGGGGGAATGTCCACCATTTTTGAGATAGACTCAACCCTGGCCTGCGCAACAGATGCGCAGGCGAGGCCAAATTGCACGATGGCTACAAGAAGCCGATCTCACGACGTTCAGTCTGACTAGAGACACTAGAGTCGTCACTAGAGTTTTTTGAGACCAAGGCAAGCATCCGTGAACTTTAGTGGAACCATTGCAAGTTGCTCGGGGCCTGAAAAGGGGACCTTGTTGAGGTCTCATGTCGTTTGTGGCAAACCATGAGTTTTGAACACAGCATCCCCCCGTCACTCCTCCCCATGACTCAACACATGTAACAAACTTGCCTATGTCGGCAACACTCCCGGAGCACGCAGCTTGAGCCGACACCAGGACAAAGAAGAACACAAGAGCCGATAAAGAACAAACACTGGGCCGTTGCTTGATTGGGTGTTCGGGCAAGTCAGTACTGTACGTTGTTGGTAACCGAGATTCCACCTCAAGTGCGGTAACCTTGTAATTTCCTGCTTGTACCGCGAGTGTCGAACCACTTACTAACTTGGCCGAACATCCAAGTAAACCTCGAATATCCCAATGTTCGAATGCAAGATGTATGGAGAAGGGTCTCTTTTGTCAGGGGCACAGCCCTTTCTAATACATGAAATGTAGTGTGAGCAAAATATCATTGGCCAACCAAAAGCAAACACACCCAAAAACCCAGGACCTTCATCTGGGCAAGTCATAATCATCCGCCAACAAAAAAGTCATGGAATTTTTCAGGGGAACCGACATTCATCTGTGTCATAGAACTTCCGTTCCTTTTGGCGTCAGAGAAAAGGTAGCCGGGCTCCCCAGAAAACCGGGTCTCAGAAGGGCTTGTCCAGGAACAGGGGATCTCGCTGCACCGGGCAAGACTCCAGCAGGTAAATTGGGTTAACAGAATGCTTAAACGTGCTTAAATGCCCTTTAAACATGCTTACATTCCCCTTTACAAAGCTTAGGCTTTCCCAAACCTTCCCGATTCAGCTTCCTGGAGAATCTCCTGGATAACTTTGCTTTGGGTCACCATGGGCAAGTTATACACGGCCAGATGGACAGATTTGTCACCCCCGACAACATCTTGGAACAGCAGCTTCTCCAGTCCAACTGGGCCCCGGGGAAGCGAAGCCGATCATGCATGGAAGTCCGGACCATCTCCCAAGAGCAGTCTTCCAAAAGATTCATGTGGGTCAACACCGTTTTGGGATCCCATTTTGGTTGGTAGGTGAATTCACCAACCATTTTAGGTTACCTATTTTAGTGGTTGGATTGGTTGATGTTCATTGGGAGTAAGATTTGGCCTTTGACCCATGGGCCATGTGAACTATGATTCTTGTAAGGGAATATGCCTATGCCTGAGGTTGAGCTGCCCCACGCGAATTCTCGAATACCGCAAGCAATTAAGTAGCGCCGCTGGATAAAACACAAGCTGCAAGTCAAAATCCCCCCATTGTTTCCCTTGCACCTACGTCGGAGTCCAAACCTGGTCTGACACTGGTCTACTCAAACCCATGTCAATTTCAAGGACCAACCTTCACCTACCCTGCTTTGATTCTGGGTTGCCATAGCTCTACTTTCCATCTTGAAAAGGGATCCTTCTTTTCAGCAAAAGGATCGTGGGTGAAATAAATGGAAAAGGCATCACTCTGGAGAAGAAAGGGTGCATTGTTGGAAGGTTCCCAGATTGGTGCCTCTTAAGGGATTCGGAACTGGTGCAACGCAGAAACCTCGACACAGAAAAAGGCCAGTTTTTAACTCGAGGTGTAAAGAACATGCATGGCAATGTATCCCAGCTGCACCAAAGAACAAATATACTTGCCGGTGCTTTCCAAGGAGGGAAATATATTTAATTTGGTCTTCGTGAATGTTTCAAGATTTTTAACCCACCGCATCCTTTGGGTTTCCCTTGGAAGGGCCTAGTTTCAACACATCTTAAGCCTTGCTCCCAGGAAGGAGCGGAGCAAAGCTTCTAGGAGCCGTCCCCATGGACAGTTGATGGCCTGTTTCCAACAAAAACCAACTGAGACGCGCAGTTCAACCGTAAACCTAGCATTCAAATCGATTCTCTCATGTGAAAGGCAAGTGCAACTTAGAACCAAAACGCAAACCCTGCTTTCATCTGGATCTCATGAAGTGACATCCTCAAAAAAGACTGTCTATTCTTTAAACAGAAGCCGCCCTCCAAAAGTAGTGTTGAGAACCCCATTAACATGCCACCACTTGTGTTTCGGGGCCCAGGTCAAGTCTTCGCAACCCCTCCCTCCCTCCCGCCGCCGTGCGGAAAAGCTCGCGGCCTTTTTCAGATTGAGTCGTGAAGATCGGTCCATCGGTCCGGTCCCACGGACGGCGCGATCGTGCGAGCGAGAGGGGCTATGAGTTTGAGTCAAGGCTGAAGCAGGTCCATGTGATAGAATCCCCTACCATCGCCCAAAGAACTCAAGGGCTAAGCTTTCGGGCCATGACTAAAAATGGATCCAGTACTTTGGGCAGTGAGACTACTTTCTATAGCGGACCACAAAATTGGCATAGGAGACTGCAAAATTGGGGCGGGGGGTGAGGGGGGGGGGGAACCCCATTTCTTGATGCGTAACCGTAGTGGGACACTACAACCGGGGAAACCGCGACCTCCATTTGCCTACTGTAAGTCCCCTGAGAAAACAATCCAGAAATAGAGTCCCTTTCAAACCAACAGGGGAAACTAGATAAACGCCATATGGTGGCCCCGGAGAAATAGATCAAAAGGTCAGCGAACAAAAAACAAGAACCAGAAAGGGGAACTAACAACCACAAAGGAAAACAATTCAACAGGTTCAATTCAACACCAAGAAGGGACACACATCACAAGGCTGGTTACAGGCGAAGTCTGGCAATCAGAGGCATCCGCTTTTTTTGCCCCAGTTTCAGCCCACACGCGCAGCCACTCGGCCCACCAGGACACGGGTCCATGGTTTCGCGTTTCGCGGGCCGGGTTCGCGTTTCGCTTCGCTCGGAGGGAGTTCCCCACTTGCCAGCCGTTGAAGGCGTGTTGGAATGAACCGAAGTCCCCGGTTGTGCTAAAAAGAGTGTCAAGAGCATAGGTGTCCTTTGAGGGGAAATAGATGGCCCTGGTAGATGATAAAACCACCAGGTAAACCAGGGCCATCTACTTTTTCTAGCAAAACAACCAAAAATAACACCTATGGTCAACAGAGTTCTAGAAGAGGGAAAGACTTGGTGGAATCCACAGTTAGGACATCCAATGTATAATATGTTTTTCCAAAAACCCCGTGCGGTTGAAAGTTCTGCCTTTTGGGTTGACCAAAAAACCATCACTGAAACTTGTGTTTTTCACCAAGGTTGAAACCAACCGTTTCCTGGGCCTTGGCTAATACAGGGCTCACAGCCTTTGGGCGTTACATGGGGCCTGGCACAAAAAGAACCATGCCGTTTTGGTGGGCCTATTTAGCGCCCTTGAACAAATCACCTTTGCATCTCAACTGGACATCTCAGGGCCGGGCAACCAAAAGGTACTTCTGCAACCCAGCGCAGGGTATGGGGTCGAAAGGCCAGTCCTATTGGGGCGGATTCAGCAACTGAAAGTATGCGGGGTTGAGGATTCAATGGGCTGTTGGGCATCTGCTTTGCTAAAGGTGAGGTTGACCCCAGCCAGAGCTACTTCTCTCCACAGCTTGTTGCACAGTACACCAACTTTTGGTACTCCGAAAATGTGCTCAGATGACCCCTATTTCGTCCGCCCGAAATCTCACATACTATGTTCTGCAAACCCTGTGTCCGGGTTCCAACAGGGGGCAGGTGAGTACATCCGGATCCGAGCCGACTCACTCGCGGAGTCTCACTTATTAAAGCGGGTTGGGATTCTTGGCAAAGAAGCTTGCAACTCAACTCCTGACAACAAATCCCAACCTTGCTTACTGGGGCCCGAAGAAGAAGCCGCCGGCAAAGGGCATGGGCATTGGCATCATCACGGGCTTCTCCCAGGTGGTGGCATTGGTGTGCTGGTTCCAGTAGTACATCCTCAAGCAAACAGGCGCGCGACCCCCCCCCCCCCCCCCGGCCAACCCAAAACGATGAGTCTAAACGTCTGTGCCTGCGTGTGTGCGTGCGGGCGAGCGTCCGCGCGCGCGCGTCTGTGTGTGTGTGTCACCTTAAAAATGAATAATCCTTAGGAGGAAGAAGAGGTCGGTTCCAGGCGTACATCCTCAAGCCGAAACCAAATCGCGGGCAGTGAAGGAGTAATTAATCCTTACCTCATCTTTTCCACGTTGGTGTCTGTAAAGAATGGGTGAACAAAATGGGACGTCAACCTCTTTGCAAGTTTCGCGGGGGGGGGGGGGTTGGGAACCCAAGTCACTGGCTTGGAAACCAGCCCGTCTCGGGCAACAAACATCGGTCGGCCGCTAAGGAATACACCACTCTCAGACCTCGAAGAGCGGAGGTTCCATTGTCGATCGCTGACTGAGGAACGATAGGGCTACTCCAAACGGGAACCCTTGCCTCACATGGGTGTGGTGTGTGTGTGTGTGTGTGTTTTTTGGGGAGGGGGAGAATATATATATATATATATAATATGTATATCTGGTTCCGGGTTGCCGCTCGCCGACGGGTACGACTCTCGAAGCCTTGGCCCTAACCGGAACCCACCAGCGGGCCCAGAGGGGGAGGTACGACGACTCTCGAAGCCTTGGCCCTAACCGGAACCCACCAGCGGGCGGGGAGAGGCCTTTTGCAAGGTGACCATAACCTGCAAAACCAGCGGGCCCACAGGGGGAGGTACGACTCTTGAAGCCTTGGCCCTAACCGGAACCCCACCAGCGGGCCCACAGGGGGGGGAGAGGCCTTTTGCAAGGTGACCATAACCTGCAAAACCAGCAGGCTCACAGGGGGAGTACGAGTCTCGAACCGGAACCCACCAGCGCGCCCACAAAAAGGAGGGGGTGGGGCCCTGTTTAAGGCTACCATGACCATGGCCGGGGGGGGGGGTGGTGCCAGACCTCTACCATCTATATATATGTATACGCAATATATATATATATGTATACAACATGCCTCTTGTTCATCCCCCCTTGTGGCTGCCCTTACGGGGAGATGAGCAATGACTAAGCACTGTTTCTTGCCCAAGGCAAACAGGAGGAACCCCCAAAGGAATTCCAGGACTTCTGGTTGAGTCTGGCAATGTCTAGGTCCTCCGGTAGAGAGGTTGGAATAAGGGTACCAACTTCGTTTCTGTAGTCTGTTTTAGTAGGGGAACCCTCCCCAAAAAATGGCAAAAGGGCACTACTGAGGGAGATAGATTGTTTAACAAACCTAAAGGGGCCTTCTGGTAGGGTGCTTCCCTCACTAGCTTCACGGTATCAGGCACCCGTCACTTGCTCGAAAAAAGTTGCACGCCAATCGCCCCAAAAGCAAGGCGAAGACCACATGTCTGGCCGAGAGACTGTCCAGTCAACCTGACACGGTGGGAGCGGGCCGAAACAAGTTCAGTTCTTCAACCGCTCCCCTGCAAAATGACATAGAAACAACAAAATGAAGTCCCTCCGGCAGATTTCTCTGCAAATGATAGTTTGTTCGGTTTCACGTGGGCACGCCGTCTTGGATGATCGTGATCACACCATATGTGCGGAGGTTCAATTCCGATGTTGGTCGAAGTCACCCCTTCCAAGTGAGCTTCAGCCCTGCTTTCAGCAAATGTTCCAAAACATCCGACCATGCATCTATTGTTGAAACACTTGTTGATCTTTAAAAGGGATCATTTATATATCAGCTTCGAGTGTTAGTTTCTCGGGGTGAGCAGGCACATTGTCTGCCCTCCCATAGAGGTGACCGGCTCCCGAAGTTGGCAAACCAGAAACAGCCAAACTCGGCACAGACTGGACAGAGTTGGCCACCTTTGGTTTCAACATAATTGTGCCACATGGAGTCTTCATGACCATCAAGAAACGAGGCCATCTACCCATATTTGTCATGACCCCATGTTTCAAATGCCATGGAGACAGGCACTTGTCAAAACATGCTCACCCACAAGGGCAAAGGGTCTCGACAAGCGCGGGGTCCCCCCAAAGCCGAGAATTCGTTGGTGGCACTAAAAGTGAGACATGTTTACCAGTCATCACCATTTCCTCCTGAGCGCATTGGCCAAACACTTGTTGCTTGCCACTGACATGGTTTCAAAAAAAAAGAAGCCCAGGGAGAGAGTTTCCCTAGAAACCGCCTGCAATCAACAAGTCACTTGCCGGGAGCTATGTAAGGTCACCTATTGACCCAAAGGAAATGGAACCCACACAGGCCAACCAACAGCTCAGGCAGATTTACGAGATCAGGACTCGAAAGAGAACCCAAGTCAAACACATGGCCAATGGTCCCAACAGCATTTTGTTTGGGCCCGTCAACTACGCTCGTGATTTGGGTTTGGAACTAAGTGCCAATAACTACGCTGTTGTTTTTTTCTAGGGTTGGGATCCAGTCTAGGTTTTAAACGTGGAAAGACAATGAAGACGCATTGTCCTGTTCTGAATATCGACCAGAATGTACTATTCAGCACGCAGAGTGTACGCCCTTGATAAAACTCCCTTGGAGGGTAGTGGGTTCAACCCCAGGTTGATAAATCCCATTTGAGAGGGGGATCCTTCACCTTTGGCGAAGACAATCCATAGATCCACATTGAATAAGTCTCTTAAACACATGTTGACGGCCTGATCCCTTCAACCTGGGTTGCTCAAAATGGAGGGCTGGTCAATCCTGTCCCATCAATCAGTCCGGGGTGGTGGGGCCCTCCAAAAGTATTGAATTTCCCAGCTATTCTTAAAAAATTGTCTAAGGTTAGCATTAAACCCTAGAAACACTCCAAAAGGGACCAAGTCCTTTCGTAACCCTAGGGAAAGATCTTGCGGATTGCCTCTGAACGGCCCAGTCAGGCCCAGTTAGTCCGGCAAGGAGGGGGGGGGAATCTTGACAGGGGTCTGTAGCCTCCCGAAAACCAAGCAGGACTACCACCGGGGTGTCCTTTTCTTAACCACTTCTACGGAGTGGGTTTTTGCAGGGAAACGCAAGGGAACATCACAACCCACCTCTTTTCGCAGGGGAACCATGTTTGAGCAAATGACAGGAATCCAACAGGAACCTGGCATTGAGCTGGTCTACTGGTCTACCCAGAAGCATGTAAAGAACTAAAAAGGCGGCGAAGGCACCCCTTTATGCTTGGGATTCCCCCTGACTAGCTGGTCATCTACCTGGGTTTTGAGGACGTGGCTCATTTGGCTATGGGTCAAAATCCCATTCCCCCCAATCCCCACTAAATTAGGTTCTAAAATGGGTGGTGAATTCACACCAATTAAAATGGGATCCCCTTGGTTTTGACAACCACAGCCATTTGGAGATCCTCCAGTAGAGAGGTTAGAATAAGGGTGCCAACTTTTTCTGTAGTCTATTGTAGTAGGGGAACCCTCCCCCAAACAAGATTCGGTAAAAGGGCACCACTGGGGGACCTAGTGGAGACACAGCCGTGCCCTTCCGACGACAACACCTCCGTCCGAGGTGCGGGTCTTGCACGGCCACCCAGCCCTCGGGCAGGTCCGGCATGGTGTAGGCCACCGGCTGCTGGACGAAACGGGCTCGGTGCTCCGTTCTCCGTTGGCAGTTCTCCCCAAGAAGGAAAGAAACCTCCTCCAAAGAAAAGAGCAAGGAACTGGGCTGCCCTCAGATCCCCCGCTCAAAGTGACTCTCCTTTGGTGGGTTCAATGGAAACTACCACTAAACGCTAAAAGGCTAAAAAGCTAAGGGGATGCCTGGGAGCCACCAAGGGAACACAAAAACCAAACCAAGCTCCAACACTCAGGGCTGTTTTTGAAAGGGTCGGCATGAACCAATTTTGGCGTTTGAACCACTGGAACCTGGTTCAAAATCAGCTTCCAGACTGGTTTATTAGCCTCGTAAAGGGACCCTTGGGGAACCCTGAAAAACAAGGCAAACTAGCGGCGAGGCGTGTTTCACGACGAGGTCCTCCAGTGGAGAGGTTAGAACAAGGGTGCCCTTTTTTCTGTAGTCTATTTTAGTAGGGGAACCCTCCCCCAAAAAGGGGTAAAAGGCACTACTGGGGGACCTAGACGAGTTGCGCCTCCGACCCCACCTAGATGAAGTCTCAAGGCAAAAGGTAGCCATGAAGCGGGGTGGGACAAAAGGTTTCGCCAAAATGGCGGAGGTATGAATCACGCCGGGTCAAATCAACTTCGCCAATCTCAGAGTGCGTCGCATCAAAAACAAGACGGTTCCTCACTTTCGACTGTTGCTAACAACACGCGTTGTCTGCCCACCCGACAAGAACACCAAAAGGATCTAAACCAGCGGCTCGTTAGGACACAGCTGGACGTTGTGAGGGGATTCTACTACTATGTAAACAATTCTAAACCGACAATTTGGCAGAAGCTCCCTCGTAAAACAGCGGGTGGGTGGAAGGTTCGTCATTTGTTCGCCTTCTGTACCCAGACCTCCAGCGGCCATCGGAACAAGATCTCCTGTCAAACCCGAAAAGGGCCTTTTTTTTGAGGTCCAGACCATTCCCGAAAAAAAACAGCCACCATAGGACATTTTCGAGGAGCCCTGACATCTATATATATATATATATATACGTTGGCCATCCCGTCACGTCGTCACTTTCGCGTAGTTTCGCTTGGTATCACAGAAAACGGCAAGCCATACCAACACTTTCCACATGCTGATGCAGCGCTTCCAGATTTTCTTTGTGGTTGGTACCCCTCGACGAACTAACGTGTGCAAGTTTCAAACATCCAACACGAACGGGCCAACATGGGCCTGTTGCCAGACACTGCTCTTTGGTGGCGCTTCAGCCGCATTGACACGGCCATTGCATTCTTGTGGTTGTTGAGATGCAAACGATTTTGAGCTTGACTGGGCCAGAGGGGTATGGCCGTATGGCTGATTGATAGGTGTGGGTTTGGGTGCCCCCGTTTAGAGGGGTCACCACTTTCGGAGGGGAAGAAACCCCAATGAGCCCAGCTTGCCGCATGCCTGCAGCACCGAGGTGTTGGGATCCACCGAGCTGGCGCCTGGCGGCTCGCCCCTTCAGCTTGCTGCGTGCAGGGAATGAGACATGGAATGCCCCTGACTTAAACCGTGCAACTGGTGGTTTCGTTTAAGGGGACCGAAGCCTGGGTTCATTCCCTTGTTTCCTAGCGCGCCGTCTAACCTACACAGGGTGTGAGCATCCCCCCAAAAAATGGTTTGGCTTGGTGGCTTGGAGGTGAGGGGGTGGTTTCCCATGTACCCGAAACATGAAGCACTAGATTCTGTTCAGGTAATGCCGGGCCCGTTTTCAGATCAGTGGTCGCAGAAGGTGGCTTCTACATTCAGGATCCTGTGACTGTTTCACGGGTTGCTGTAATGGACAGTTTATTCCAGCCCCCCCAACCAACGAACACGCAAAACAGCACAGGCCTCTTTTTTAAACTGCACAAGCCAGAGCTTTAAATCCCAGGTACTCTTTGTAGAGGGCAACAAAAACAACCACAACTCCATCAAGAGTCAGAAAAACCAGCGAAGCGGACATTCCTTGTTTGCCAGTTTCCTGGAAACTGGGAGCCAACTAGGGCATCTATACAAAACCCATCCCAGTTTGACTTCTGGGGGAAATACCCGAGACATCGGCGGTTTAGCACCAAGCCCGGACTTGGCCTTGCAAGCTGTTCCCCAAGTAGCTTTAGCTATTGAGGCGGGGGTTGTTCAGCGAACAGGGGTGCTGGTCAGGGTGGTCAGGTTCTGGTTCGGCTCTGCAGTCAGCGTGCTGGTCAAGGGTGCTGTCGGGGTCTGGCGGTGCTTGTTTGGCGCTGCAGTGCTAGTGCTGTTATGGGTGCTGGTGCTGCTTGTATGCTTTAGGTGCTGTTCCTCAAGTAGCTTGAGCTATATAGGGCTTCTTATTCCCCAACGAAAAGGGCAGGCTGTAAAGCACTCCCAAGTTTCCGGAACCGCGGGCCTCTCAACAATGGGCACACACGAGGGACTTTGTGGACCCTGCTCAATGGTTTCTGGCTTTTGCCCAAAGGTGAAGGAACATCTGGCACCCTTCTATTAATCTACCTCAAGAGGGGCTGTCTCTAAGTGGGAGAACTTTAGATTCGCCTCGAAAAGCAAGCCGACAGGGGTAGCCTCATGAAAAGACACGCCCCACGGCGCATAAACCAAACTCGTGTGTTGGCTGCCTGTTTTGTTGAGCCATACAGGCAAACACCTCAAGACATACCAAGAAAAGTGAAGGTCTGATAGGGTTGCCTGCAAGAACCCACAAGAATAGAGTAACTCCCTTGAATCAAAGAAGACCTGTTCTACAATATCCAACCAGGAGTTCTCTGTGCGGGACTCCAAGAGCAACACGGGCAATACGACGACATCTTAAAGGTCGACCATGTAAAGAAGCATTGCTTCTGAATGGGGGCCGACTTCCAACGTGCCCTCTCACAACTCAGCTGCAAAAGAACATGGGACCCAAAGAGGTGCGGGGGTCCCCAAAAAACAGCGATTATTCTGAAAAAAGACACGCGCTTTTTTAGAGATCTGCAGCGCTGCAGAGTGTTCCCTCGCCTCCCTTCTTGCCCTTCTGCTTCTGGCGTCGAGAGCTTTGGGATGCTTGGGCTTGCTGTTGCTGCGCGTGCGCTTGCTGCGCTTGCTGCGCTTGCTGTTGCTGCGCTTGCTTCTGCCTCGGCTGCTGCTGCTGCTGCTGCTGCTGCTGCTGCTGCTGTCCTTTCTTGCCCTTGCCCTCCTTCCCCTTGCCTCACGAAGTGGTCTCACATGACTTCGAACTAGTTGCCCAGCCATGGCAACTTTTGTTTGGGCCACTTTTGAACGGTCCTGAACCAACAACCAAAACGAAATGGAACTTTTCAGGGAGCCACTGATCCACCGGCAGGCGGGTTGTCAGCATGCGTACAACAGACTGGGGTTGACGACCCTATGGTTGAACGCCCAAACAACTAGAATGGGTTGTAGGGTACCATTTAGCCAAGTTACATCATGGGAGTAATGTGTGTGTGTGTGTGTCAACTATTTAGCCCCTTATATGATATATGGGTACGCGCCGAAATACGGGAACCCCCGAAATACGGGAACCCCCAAAATGGATGTCGTGTTTGGCCTTGGGTTTTCCTTTAAACTCATCCGAAAAGGGTACCATGCCTTAGAAAGGCGTGCCACACGCGCGGTTTGCTGAAAAACTGCCACACCTGGAGTCCAGGAGTGGGTTTGTCGTATTGGGAAACTGCCCCTAAAAAGACGGCTTCGGTTGTTCCTGTCCCCTTGAAATCAATGGGGAGTTCAACGAACAATGGCACACCTGGAGTCTGCACCCTTTGACACATGGCATGACCCCTTCCTTTCGGGTCTAATGACCACCCATTTTCAAAGGGGTAGGAGCATAGGTGGCCTTGTGGAAAAAAAGATGGCCCTGGTAAATGGAATAACGTCTAAACCAGAGCCCTCTATTTTTCAAGCGCTTTTCCAAAGGCATCTCAAGGTCAATCTGGTGTGGGTGGTAGGTGGGTGTCTGAAACTGTCTTGAGATAGGACGCATACAGCACTTGGGGTTTGGGACAGCACTTGGGGTTCTGCCGACAGCCGGGCCTCATCCGGGCCACGAAAACGAAGCAGCTTGTACATGGTTTCAGCAGCTATGCCAATGCTGCGCGCGCCACCGTCCAGCCAAACCGAACGCTGCTCCGTGCGGCATTGAGCACACGATCCACCAAGGTCAACATGTGCCATTCGTCCAGAGCCATCGACATGTGCGCCGCTCAGGCAGTGCTGGTGTGTCCTGGGCAGTGAGCAGTGGAGTAGGCGCTGGCGTGGAGATCGTAGTCGCTGGCGTAGGCGCACATGCGGCAAAGCAGTCGCAGGCTGCTGGTCTGGGAAAACCCAAACTGGTGGCTTGTTGCATGAACTGTCCGTTGGAACAGACCCAAAAGCTTCTCGCAAAAACACCCCTGAAATCGGAGATCTGGACAAGATTCCAGGTGACCATTGATCAACCGCCGGACCTTGCACAAACAAAAAATAAACCTCGGCACCCAAGGAGGACTTTTCGCATGTTTCACACATCCAACTGCTGAACTAAACAAATGAGGGGTTAAAGCAGCCCTTGGGCAGGCCATCCGTTTCGGTGTTCGGGGCATTTGGCAGGAACTTGGCACTGCCCCTCACTTGCCCACATCAAAAAGCCCAATATGTTTGCGAGGTCGAGCGTAACAGCAGGTTGTTTTACAGTTGGCCGTGTTTCAGAAACGAGCTCGGGACTCACACTTAAAACAGGCCTGATTCCACGTCTACACATAATCTGATGTTGCCGCACTTTTTTCGACACATACGTACCCAGCCACAAACCGCAAAACAACACACAAATAACAAACACCAGACGATTCGAGCGCACCTGGGACGCATGAAGATCCGGACATATTGTTTGTTGCATGCCTTTGAACACAGACCTGGTTCCCCCCAATCAAAGAACTGCCTGGGACAATCTCAAGCTGTCCAAAAAGACCTGGACTTAAACCAGGCCAAAGCTGGGAAAGCAAACGCGATTCGGTGAATTAGCGGCCGAAGTCCAAACTTAGGAGAGCTATATGCGGGTGCCTCAAAATGGAGTTTGGACCCCAAAATGGTTAGCCTCCTAGTGGTTTCCTTTTCAAACCACCTCCACAAACGGCAATCATCCTCCAAACACAGACTCATATTGCCCGCCCCACCCCTAGCCCCCAAACAGGTTCAACCCCTTCGATCAGCAGTCCTTTGTTTTTTGAGCCTCTCTCGTTGGATGGGATTCAGAGATTGTAGCTGTAGAAAGTACCGCTCGTGTGCGCTCCGGAATCTTCTGTGTCACTTGGCCCACACCCGTTCCTTTGGCTTCCTTTCCCCTCCCCCCTCCCATCTCCGCACTCCGCCTTTGCCCTTGGCTCTGCGCTCCTCCTCTCTCTTCGCCTCTATCTTCATCCTCTTCTCCTCCTCTTTGCGCCGTCGCTCCTCCTCCTTTCCTCAGTGCCAAGAGGGTCATGGACATCCCCGTTCGCCTTCCAGTGGGGCAAAAGCAGCAAAAAGGCAACGGGGGATTGCCAAAAGAAAGCAGACATGAAAGGCGTAAGAACATAATCACGAAGAATCCACTTTGGGCATCCTTTTGTGCAACACCAAGAAACGTGCGGGTCAAAATAGCACCCAGTACATGACACCACGCAGGGTTTTTGTTCTGTATACAGGGGGCCAGCGGGACCTCTCCAAAAAACAAACATTTGAGACGTGGCCAAGCCCGGCTTGCTGAGGGTTCGTAAAGGCCCGGACCAAGACTAGGTGTCAGGGAAACAGCACACCCCTTTCAGCTTGGTTGAAGTCAAAGAAACCCAACCATGTTGCGGGTCCAAATCCCTATTGTGGCGCATCCAATTCAAGAACCCTTTTCTGGCACTTGATTTGAGAGGGGCCACACCCTCCCAAAACAGGTTCTGAACCAAATAGAAGCAACCCACGTGTCTGGGAACCTAAACATTGCCCCCGAGCCCCCTCCCCCGACCGGTCTCCCTCATCCAGTCTTCCCCACAAAACGCGAACAGGAAGCCATAAATGGGGCTCTCACGAAATCGCCCGTGTCATGTTTTCAAGAGGGGATCGGCCGACCTCTTGATCCGACCGAGGCATCAGAGGCGCTTCGTCGCTTCTCCTCCTCCGCCTGCCGCTTCCGCATCTCCTCCTCTCGCTCCTTGCGCTCCGCCTCCGCGCGCGCCTCGGGTCAGTCGGGTCCCAGGCCTCAACCCCCCAGGTGATTTGACCTACATATAGCAATAACAATTATCAAGTAATAGTAGATAGAGACAGTAGCGAATACAAAAATAAACGAAACATTTATGTTAAACAACTTAATGAACAAGTCATTAAAGGACCTAAACAATGAAGTTTGGATTACTACCAAGTCAAGTATATTGAAGATACCAAGAAATATGTCTAATCATTAACTAACAAAATGTTGTCTCAAAAGCGGTTTGTCTATTCCAGCTACTTTGTAAGTTTTATTACCCATAATATCATATTCAATTTTATCAACTTTAAATAAGTTATTACTCCAACGGCCGACATACTCTTTTCTGTCGGTGTAATTGCCCCTTTTCTTTTGAAACACTTTTACCTTATCGTTCTCCTCTATTTCCCACTTACCCTCTACAAGAACCAGGGGTTCAAATCCCAAACCACCAAACCAAGCCACCAACTAAGGGTAACCTGAGCTAGGTCCTCCAGATTTGAGAGGTTAGAGTATGGGTACCCATTTTTTCTGTAGTCTATTTTAGTAGGGGAAACCCTCCCAACTAAAACAGGGGAGAGAAGGGCACTACTGGGAGAATCAGTCAAAATGGACAGATTCCCTCACAGTGGACACCTTAAACTGGACTCTTCATTTCCAAGCAACAAAGCATGAACCCCCTAAAATGGGCCCCTTCAAAAATTGATACCCTGAACTTGGTTGCTGCAACGACCCCCCGGCAAAAAGTTGAAAACTTTTTGTGGGTCCAATGGACAACTCTTGAATTCTACCAAAAAGTTGAAGTCTAGAGATCCAACCCAATAGCAACTAGGTCCTCCAGTAGAGAGCTTAGAATAAGGGTACCAACTTTTTTTCTGTAGTCTAATTTAGCAGGGGAACCCTCCCAACCAAAAAAGGGGAGAGAAGGGCATTACTTCTGCACCTAGGCAATCAAGTTCAATGAGACCTGAAAGGGACATCTGCGGACATTTTCCGGGAGCCTGGCCTGCTCCAGGTCCACAAACGGCTCAAAGAGCGTGAAGAGGTCGTCCCCCTGCCCCGCAGGCGCCGACTCGAGCGCTTGCGCGGGTTGCGGGGCAAACCAGCCTTGCACCGAAAAACACACATTTCTAGGTTTGGTTTAAAGAGAATCCTCAGTTGCCCAGAGGACCCAGAAATAAAACATAATCACAGTTTGGGGCCATGACGAAAAATGGGAGCCCAAACAAGGGCAAACCCAACAGGTCACAAGGTGAAAAGGTTGGCTTTGGACAAGTGAGAGAAACCAAAGGAACACATGCATTGACTTGTACTCATCATTGTTATTATGTTTTTTGTTTGGGGGGGGGGGAGGGCTTTGAGCCATCCAAACAGCAGCTTGCTGTAACTCTGGGGTACGGTGTCGTCCTTGACCAAAAAAAACACAAGCAGTTGGAACACCAGGCTTTCCACAATACCCGAAACCTACTCATAAATTCCCCAAGTGGAGTTAACCGTGTCATGATTGGTAATGTAGGTGAAGCTCACACCTCAAGGCATTTTTTGGGGTATGGCTCTTCCAGTGAATTGTGTGGAGAAAGCTTCGTTTTCCATGGTATTGCGCATCGGCTTGGCTGACGGCTACTTTCTCACCAAAGGTCCAAAAAGCCAAAAGGCTAAAGATCGAACCAAATACCAGTAGCATTCGGCATTCAACTTGCTAATTTGGGGCACTAGTATGATTTTGGCAGCTTTGGTGGACATCATTTAGGCCACCAACCTGCCAACCACCGTTCAGGCAGTTTCCGGTTGAAATTCATAGCCATTTGCTCATTGGTGCGTTGTGGAAAATCGTGGAAAATCACCAGGAATCTGTGATACCAAGGCTGTTAATTCTTATCATGACCTCCTCAACACTTGGAGGATCTCGTTGGTATCACGCAAAGTGGCCTAAAAACCTCGCACTGGTCAAAATGGCGGTCCGCGGCTTTCCTTGTACCTCTGCTTGGGACTTCGCCCACGTGGTGAGGTACCTAGGTCTAGACACACGTGTAAGCCCCTCAACAGGAGTTCAGGTTGCAAGCAGGGTAGCCTGGTCAACCAATTACTCAGCCAAGAACTCCCAGGTTTGGGTTGTCATTGGGCAGCAACTACCCAGCACTTGGCGGAGAACCCTGACTCCCCAAAGGCCTTTTTGTTCTTTTTCCGCGGCTGGGGGTCGGGCTTACATCCACGGAACTGATCCCACTTCGATAGGACACACCCGGTGCAAGCCCCCCTCATTGATTTCGATCGAGGGAGGGGCGTCCCATAAGAAACCTTCATTTCCGGGTTGCAAGCGCCCCGAGAAAAACACACGATCCAACTTGGCGTCTTCGCGTGGGAAACAGGGGGTCTGGGCTGGAATCAAGGCATGACCCAGCTTCATGCTATCTCCCGGATCGGATCTAAGTGGCCCACATCAAACAATGATTCCCCGCGTTAACAGAATGAACTCAAGGGGCCTCCCCGGCCCCAACAAAAACAGCACGGCAACAACCAACAACATGAAAACATTGGGTTGCATGTCACTCTGCAGGAACAAACATGTGTCCATCCACTTGTAGTTCTGATGAAAACATATGAACACCGCTCCAGCCGCTTTCGGCCGTTCGATTTTGGGTGTGTCTTTTTGTTTAGGGCTGCCCTTTTTGAAGGCTTCGAACGGAAACCGCAAAAAAAACAAAACAACATGCATTAAAAGGGTCTTACCCCCCCAAAACAACATGAGACACGGCCAAACCCAGCCGGAGAAAAAATAAAAACAACAACTTCAGGGTCACCGGATGGCCCCGGCTGCGGTTCCTGGGTTTTCCGTTTCGGTTTCGCCCGCCTGGCGGCGCTGGGACTCCCGGTGCAGGGGGAAGACTTGGCGCTTGGACTTGGCCAGCCGGAGCCGCCGGGACCAGGTGGCCTCGTGCCCGGGGCGGTCGGGGCGGTCGATGGGTCGATTTTCGCGAGCTGAAGGGTTGGCGCAACCTGGCAGGACCCCAACCATCTCAGCCTTTAGTTCATCTCAGAATTTGGCGTGAGTTTCGGATGAATCAACCGTGAACGGAATGAACCAGTATGAACGGATGAATGAACCAGTGTGAACGGATGAATAGGGGCATCGAACTGCCCAAGAAATTAATGACCCTCCCACCCTTCTCTCATGGAACCTGACGTTTGGCCGGGGTCCTGAAGACCATTCTCCTTTTAAAAGGGACCCCCTGACGGGTGCCATGACAACTGGTGGGAGGGTAGCTTAATTGCAACTGGGTTCATTCCCAAAACCCGAAACGGATTTTCCGAGAACCAGCCAGAAAATCGGCCCAAAGGTTAAATGGTAGAAAGGCAAATGATATTTCTTCGGTGAGTTGTTGGGCGATAAACGGAGAAGCGGCCCAGGATCGGGCGGCATGGAAAGCAAAACCGGTGCGAAAACGATGCTGGGCCCAATATGTTCCAAGTATCAAGCGGACAATGCAGGGGGGTGGGTCCTTTTTGCGGGGGGTACTTAGAAGCTTCCGATGTCTCACTTTGGACTGAATGCAGTTGCAATCAAGTGAGCCAAGGAAACAACAGAAAAATGAGAGCACGCAACAAACCAGCAGGGTCATTTCAGGAATATGAAACGAGTGGGCCACCAATGCCTAAATGTGAGTATGCAGGGGGGATTCCAAAAATGGCTTGGGATGGCTTCGGCTTTCCTTCCAGTGTCCCTGGACAAGGGATGAAAAGGCTAACTACCCACTCAAAGTGCCCCAAGAAGCCAAGCCATCGCGATCAGAACTCAACTTTGACCATCTTCGCTCCACATCTTGGCCCACAGAATTACGGCGAAAGGAGGATGTTCTGATCCTGTGTCATACTCAGTTTAACGGCTCCGAACGTCAGGCTCCATGTTAGTTGGTGGGAGGGTAATATATGGCAACCGTTGATCCATTTGGAGGGCAAAGGTGGGCATTGTCCACATGGATTGTCTGAAGGAGCAAGACTCCAGTGTTCCAGGCAAATGTCAAGATTTCATGCACCTGAGGCAACTGGACGCCCACCAAGGACCCAAGACTCGAGTTCATGAGTTGGCCTCTGGCAGTGGGTCAAAAATAGGTACCCAAAAAGGAACCTTGGTAAATGGAACCAAGGCCCAAAACTTGTGGTCCCCGACTGTTCTAATTTTGACCCACAGCCATCGCACTATAGGGTCCCCAAAATTTATCCAGCATCGCTTTGGGGCAGACCCTAGACACCGCCTCGTCGATGGTGTGCATCCGCGTGGGAGTCTCCCGCAAGACCTGGAAGAGCCGGTCCTGAGCTCCCGAGCTGCCGACGAGCGACGTTTGTTTTCAAGGGAAACCACTCGCTGGTGCGATGGGTAGGGAATGAGGGAATGAACCTGGGGGTTCCCTTAAAGGAAACCACCAGTTGGATGGTTTATAGGGGTCATGACATTTCTCATTCCCTGCTGACAGCAAGACCATCAACAGGGGTAGTGCTGCACCTGAATGAACCACAGGGTGAGCTTGAAGTAGGAAAGGCAGGCCAAGAATAGCTGGTGTCCAAAGGTGGTTGCTTTTTATGGAGCAGCCCTTCCAGACAAGTTGAAAAAAAGGCACTGCTAAATGTCAGGGGTGTTGCCTCGAAATGGTGGGAACCTGCGTGTAATCAACCGAAATAGGTACGGTAGTCCGTCTATTCAGCAAGGGGAAGTCACTTAACCAATTGTAGGAACGGGGGAACCCGGGATCAAGAAGCCAACCAGAAAACATTTGTTTGAACTATATACAACACAATATTTTACTAAATAACAGTTTTCAACAGGGATGGTCGAAAGAATCGCCAAATCAGCAACATCTTGTTGATGTATTGTTTACAGGACAGGACACCTGGGCTCGAGCAACCAAAAGAAACAAGTATGTTTAAAGCAGAACAGAAGACACAACACGTGATACGCATGAAACAATTGCCAAGTCAGCTTGCAGGATCAAACAAAAAAACAAGCAACCAACAGTGACTCGAACAAACAGACACATGACAAATACATGAAGTCTAGCGAACAAAACAATATACCAAGCAGGAACATGTTCACCAAGCAGGAACATGTTTGCCATTTCAATGAACACTGGCAACGCTGCAACCACCACACATTCTCAAAGCCAGGGAACGCAACAAACAAATACATAAAAATGCCAAAAAGGAGAAAAAAAAAAAAAACAAAAAAAAAACGCGACGCTCATTTTAAACAATACAGCACCGGTGCCAACTGCGAGCGCTGCCCACTGCGGCTCAGGATTCACTGCATACCTCCCTCGATTCCATGCAGGGACGGAAGACATGCCGCCTATACAGTTGTAATGCATGAAGCTCATCAAGCTTGTCACCCTTCAAATCCTTCTCTTGTCCCCATGGCCGCTAGGGAATTGCACACCTTCATATGGCATCGGCCCCGCTCCTCAGATTGTCGAGCAGGAGCGTTGGACTTCTGCAGCTACACACAGCGGAAGCGGTAGACAAGTACAAGTACATACCATAATTTGGAGACACTAGGTCAATCAGGCCCCATCTCGCAAAATTGCTTCCTTGGCCACTGGGCCCCCAGACCAATGCCTCTGCCACGCGAGGCCTATGCGCAGGCTGGTTCTCATTGCAGGGGTGTGTGTGTGTGTGTGCTGTTGGAGCGTACCCTTTTCACATGAGGCTACCCTTTTCAAATTCGCCAAACCCACCTGTGCTGTGTACTAATTGTCTGGCCCCCCTCTTTCAGACGGCTCCAGATTTGTGGGACTCCGAGCATCAAAATCCGTGACCATCCCCACACGCTGGACACCTGGCAACCCCGGATGCCAGGGGAAGCACAGATTTGGCGGGATTCAACTGGGCCAATAGAAACGAATCAAGGTCACGCCCCAAGTTGTTAAAGGGAAACACCTCCAATTGGTGTTGCCATGGTCAACCGACCAACACCGTAAACCATGCTGCACTACAGAAGTTCCTTGTCTTCGTTTGGGCGAAAAGGGCTAGTTCGGTGGTAAGAACAACGAACGTTTGTTCAATCCCAAGCAATCAACCCGACTCCTCATCCAGAAAACAACAAAAAACAGTGGTGGTTCAAACGTTCCAGTGTAGAAATCACAGGTTGAAGCTCAATTAAAGTCCTTGCAGGGGCAAGTAACTGCTTGAGTGGACGGGTCAGACAAAGTTCAGACCGTTTGCCTACTACTAAAAATAGATTTCCAAGCAGTCCGAACACTGGGGGAGTGAGGAAATGTAAACGGGCTGAATAATTACACACAGTAGCGTCCTATGATAATGATGCAAGTTGGCTTCACAGTACCCCTGCTTTATGTTCCTCATTTGGTTTGAGGTGAATCCCTCTAGGCTTTTGTTTGTGTTTGTATCTGTGACCATGTCAAGGTGTCCTAAAACAAATCGGGTCCCCTCTATTTGTGTCCAAATTGAACTGGACACAATTTTGGAGTGCATGAAGCAAAACTAGAAACACACCAACACCCTGTTGCTGGCTCTTACTCGCTCGGTAGAGAATGAACAGGGGGTCTCGAAAATTGGCTTGGGAACACAACATATGGCCATGGGTTAAAATCCCGTACCCCCAGTGAACATCCCAATCCCCACTAAAATAGACTAAACATGGTACCATTGGTTTTGACCCACAGCCATATGTTTGAAACTAACCTCTGTTGTTTTGTGGGGACCCCCTGGTTGTTTCTGATGTTTTCGGCCATTTCGGAACTTATTATGAGTACCAGTCAGACCCGGTGGCCATGGAATAGGAAGGCACCACTTTTCCGGTGGTTGATCTTTAATACCCCTCCAAAAACCGACGAACAAAGGGCGCCAATGGTTGAACCAAAGATATGTGAACCCCCTTATCTTGGCCCAAATCTGAGATACACGTATGGCCATGGGTCAAAATCCCGTACCCAGTGAACATCCCAATCCCCACTAAAATAGGTCCTAAAATGGGTGGTGCACCCACCCCAAAATGGTACCACTGTTTTGACCCACAGCCATATGTTCCGAGACCCTAACATATCAAACTAAATTCCGAGGAGACCAACTTTGGTTTGGCCCTGATTTGCAAGTAAACTCAGCCCTCACTTGAACCCAACACTCCCCTCTCAACTCGATTGGCCAGAAAAAGTTCCGAACTTGTTTGCCACGCAAGTGCGAACCCCAACAGTGACTTTTCAGTTCAATTCGGGGCGTGAGGTTTGATCCCAGACTGTTTGAACCTTTCATTTGGGGTGTGTCAAACTTGGGCAAAACACAAACAGCAACTTATTTCAGGGTCTCCCTTTTGGCTTCCCTTGAAAAACCACTCCACAAAGGGTACCCTCAAAAACCCAAATCATGTTTGTTTTCTTGCTGGTGCAACAGGTAGGACATGGAATGAACCGGAAGGGGATTCCCTCAAAGGAAACCGCAAAAGTTGGATGGTTTAAATCTGGGTCATTCCAATTCTCATTCCCTACCTATCGCACCAGCAAGTTGGTTTGCTCAAGGGAAACCATCAACAGGGGTAGTTCCACACCTGAACTAACCACAGGGTGAGTTTGAAGCAGGAAAGGCAGGCAAAAGAATAGCTGGTGTCCAAAGGTGGTTGCTTTTTATGAAGCAGCCCTTCCAAACAAGTTGAAAAAGAGGCACTGCTAAAAGTCTGGGGTGTATCCCATGGCACCAAACGAGTGGGGCCCTTGCTCGGCGGCCACCTGCGGCACTGGCTCGTCGTCCCGCTTGCCTGAGAGGGCGGCTGGATGTCAGGTAGTGACTATGGGGTAGGGGGGGGAACCAGGAACAAACAGCGGGAACCGGGAAAAGGGGCGGGGGAAGGGGGAATTATAATGAAGAATTGCAACTGAACTTAATGTAGTGCCGGTCGGTGCCGCTGGTGACATGGCCGTGGCGGGTTGTCTGCAAAGCATACAATCATTCCAAGCCCCGAAACATCGTACCCTTGCAAACTGACCTACATCAGAGTGAGCTCGTTTTGTCCCCGAATCGGTGAGATCGCTATAGAATTGGCAAACGTGCTTAAACTGTTCAAACGACCAGCCGACCAGCACAAATCTTTGGGGAACCTGTATGCCAGTTTATCTGGTTCAAAGTTCAAACAAACAAACACATTGAAATAACACCTGTAGTTTCTTTGGGTCCAGTTTCTATCTAACACAGGTATGGCTTTGAAAGCATGGGTGGTGTCTTGGAATCATGGTAGAAATCATGGGGGGGGGCGTAGAATCACGGCCAGTCGCAAACAAAAGACCTCAAGCAACCAACACCGATCTGGGCACACGCCCAGATCCGTGTTGACTATGTGCCAATACCACTTAGGGGCCCGCAAGGTTTGGATCTTGTCCTTTGAGGGGAAATGCAAAAGGTGTTGAAATACTGTGGATGGATACGAAATCCATTTCGCACCACCTAAGAAACCCTGAAATGATTCGATTCCCCTGGAAATACCAACAACCAATGGTTTCAACCATGGTTGCAAAGTGGTGCGAAATGGATTTCGTCCACCCACAGTATGTTAAAGGGCACTGGGATGAAGCAACCCAGTCCGCACTGCAAACCTGGCAAAAGGGAGGCAGAAACAAAGCCAGAACCGCCAGCGGATGCCATCGGCCATGAAGGAAAACACACACATTGTTGTTGGGGTGGACGTAAAAGGAGAACACATCCAACCAAAAAGTGGAAATATACGCAACGCAGATCTGGGAATTAACCCGAAGGACAACTTCAAGTGGATTTCCATGGGAAAAGGGGAACCTATCCCTCGAATGGAAAAGAACAGGGCACCTCTAGATCTGAGATAAAATTCAAACGCCCGACAAGGTGGAAAGAAATCAACTCCGCTGCTCGACCTGAGTGTTTCTCAAAATGGTCGATCCCGTTCGGTTGGCGGTTTTCGGGAAAGCATAAGGAAAACCACAATTTTTGGACCGCTTACCCGAATATAGGCCCGCCCGAACGCTTGCGGAGGACGTTCCTTTCAACAACCTTTTGGAGTATTCGTTGTTTTGGGTCCTGGCTTTGGGTCCCGGCAAAATATGGCAGTGGGTCAAAAATAGGTACCCAAAATGGAACCCTGGTAAATGGACACCTGGACTCAAACCTGCGGTCCCCCGCAGTCCTCCTGGTGGTTTAAGTTTGACCCACACCCATATACTGTGTCCACGGCAGCCCTGACCGCAAGCGTAGTTTGACCGCACACCCTCCCCCCAAACATGAAAGCTCCCAGTTAGACTTGGCGTGGACTTTTGGGAGCTTCCATGTTTTCTGACTTGCGGCATGGCACGCTAACCCTTCCCAAATGAAAGCAAACACGCCAAACCGTCGGTTTCTTGGTCAAGCTCCCAGTGCTCCAACTCAAACGGGTGGGGGGGTGGGTTCAAACCCTCTGATCATGCCCTGGTAGGTGTTCTATTTCCCCGAATCGACAAAGTGAGTACAATAGGTATCCAGGATTCCTTATCTCCAGGTTTTACATGGGGGTGGGGGTTCTCATAACGGCGGACCTCCTTTTGGTTGGTAATCAAACGGAAATGGTGTCCCCTATGGTGTCCCCCAAGGGGAAACGAATCACCTCTTTTGGTTGACAAACCTAGGGCACACCACCCTATGGTGTTCCCTTGTAAGTGGCGAACTGCCGAAATGCTCTGGGCAGGGAAGATCAGCTTTTTTTGCGAGGAAACCAAACGAGTCCAAGCCTTCGAAGGTTAGGAACACACTTCCTAGAGTCTCCTTCTGACCCCGAAATTTTGGGTGACCCCATTTTTCAAGGGTCACGGAGACTCCAGGTTGATCCCTGTGACGCGCCAAGACCATAAAAAAACACCAGCAATGTATGTGAACAACTGTCCAACCCTTCTGTTAGACGTGGCCTGCCAATTGACATGAACAGAGCCAAACCACAACAATAACAAAAATCCGTGCCAAGAACACGGAAGCAAAGGCTCTGAAGGAACCTTCTGCAAGAACTGGTGCCAACCGTGATGCTGAAGTTGGCCTAAGCAAGAAATATAACATCCCTTTGCCTAAGTCCCCCAGAACAAAATCCAGGAGAGATAGATTCCCTTTAAGACCAGCATGCGCCGCCAAATGACACATATTCTTAAGCAAATGGAATGAATGCAAGGAGCCCTGCAAGTCCGAGGGAAAGCATCCAGATCAAAAGAAGTGAAAGGGTACGCGCGAATGCAGCAATGCCCCCCCAACAATGCCCGCCCAACAATGCCCCCCCTCCCCCCCCCAACAAACAAAAACAAAACATGGCGGAAAAAGGCTCTCGTGCAACCAACACGCCGGATAGTTGGGACCCCATGCGATGCTTCACAAACCGCTTGGTATATGAATCGGGGGTCAACAGTACCAGTACCCCAAAAGCACAAATTTGGGGGGCCGCTTGTTTTTAAGGGGGACTTCCCCAAGTTATTTTCAAGGATCCTTCTTTCCGGGAAACCATCCATACGCCATGTTTCAATTCTTGGCTTTGTTGTGAAAATAATGTTTGTTGAACAGAATGGCCACTCAACCCCCTATGTTCCATTTGCTGAAGCTGTCTTCTCGTCTTCCCCTTTTGATGTTTGAAGGGAATGGACTGTTCAAAGGCATTCCATATCCTATGTTGAGACGAACCCATAGGTTCGGTTTGCCAGAGGTAATTCGCCTGCCGAATCAACCAATTCGACTCCCCACCTCGAGTTCCTGAGAAGTCGATGCCCTCCTTGAGACGAGACCAAGGCATCTGCTCAAAGTTTTCTCTCGATCTACAAAACGGAAAGACCAACCTGCGTGTCCGTTTAACACAAAAAAGGATCCACGTTGAAATGGGTGTGGGTCTAATTAAATTACATCACCAGGGGACGGCAGGTTTTAGTATTTGCTTCCATTCACCAGGGATCCATTTGGGGTACCCATTTTTGACCCACAGCCAAATAGAAGTAGCTGATACTCATCATGGATCAGCTTTAAGCAGCGGCATCTTCCAACTGTGTGCTTGTTCTTGTAACAGAGGCTTCCAACCTGGTTTCCTTTCTTTCGTATCTCGCCTAGAAGCTTCCAAGATCAGAATGGGGGGTGCCCTGGTGAATGCTTTGCATTCTTACATTCTATGAAACAACACCTGACGTCCGTTAAGTTCTTCCCTCCAGACGCCTGCATGTAAACATGCCAAAGATGCATTAAAGACACATGTGCATGGGATGGTATGTCAACGGCCAGCCCGAATGAGCTTTGCGTGAGGACCATCGCCAATAAGCCGATAAACCCTTTCCCACGTTTACAAGGTTGAAGGCGGGGGGGTCTGATAAACATCATGCGAAATTGAGGTTTGGTTTCCTGCGGAAACAAACAAATAGATGATGCTTTTCGCCAGTCTGCACCGAAGACCCTGTGGAAGAGAATGTTTGATGCCCGCCCTCGCAAAAAGAATGAGGAAATGCAACCTGCCTTTTTGGGACTCCTTCTGGCATGCCCTCAATGTCATTCCCTTTGCTACCCCCCCAAAAAAAAACACTATGGACCCTTTGGTGGGCCTCAGAACTTGGCGGGGATTCATGATGTCATGTCCCCCACTTTTGAGTTGGTACCCCATGAAAAAGCATAGCCATTTGATTGGAAAAATAAACTGGTTGGGAAAAAGGATAGGTCCTGAGGTTGTAGAAAAGCACTGTTTCATGGCCAAAAGCCCTCCAAACAAAGAGCATTGATCGTCTTGAAAGGACCTTCTCTCAGAGGGTACCTCTTTGGGAAAGCCAAAAGTAACACCACAATCTTTCTGATTCCACAAAGCAAACACACCCAAATGACTTGGCCATAACATGGCTGTGAATTTGTCAAACCAACAGGTGAGGATGTATTGGGCTGTGCGCGAAAGGGCGCTCTGCGTACAAGCACTGAAGGCCAGCTTACGACATAAGATTGAGCAGTGGGATGTCTGATGCGTTAACTATTGGCGAGGGCCCCCCGCTTCGCACATTCTCTGCTTCAAAACATGGCTTTGGCGTGGCCCAAAAGCACCTGGAACCAAAGGCCTGTACATAAATCCCGACATGGGGTCAATGCCTTCCGACTTCTTACCCCACTCAGGGCTCCATTGCGGAAAAACGATGGCCCGTTCTTAGCTCCCTAGCGCTGCTACCAAAGCCCCACTTGCACACGCTGCATTGGCCGCACGATGTGGGCATGGCTACATTTCTCGGTTGCTTTCTGCTCCCCTGCTAACAGCTTGACTTTTTGTGGTTTAACGGAAAATCCGTTAGTTGGTGAAGTCCTAACATCCAAGCAAAATGCAACAAAGATTTGCTTGTGGGCAAAGACTGGCAATCTCAGGGCTCTAACTGGGTCCAGTAACGTGTCATGAACAAAGTGAGCACCCCCAAAAGAGCTTTTTCAGCAGCCTCGAAATGCGACCGCTTTAGGGGCCCAGTCCAAACTTGAGGCATCTGCACAGATACGGTGTGCGTAGTGTACCAAACAAGTTCTCGTGCATGAAGGTATCCGCCCGATTGGCAGATTTGCTAAAGGGGGCCGAAATATGGGTGTGGCTCAAAATAAACCAGGAGGGGTTACGCAGGTGTTGGTCCATGTTTCCACTTGCCAGGGATCCATTTTGGTACCGGTTTTTGAGCCACAGCCATATCTTCCCTTCGCTTTGCACGAACCTCTCCTCCTTCTCGACCGTGGTGATTTTGGGCGGCGCTTTGCTGTAGAAGGCCTTGAAATCGGAGACAAACGGATGGCGATGGAATGGCAAATGAGCCATGGTAAATATGACTTCAAGGGGATATGGGAAAACAAATTGTCGTGAGCCCGTTGGGTTTTGTGGGAAACTTAGTGAACTTCCCAGTGTCCCTCGTAGGCTACTGAACATGTTGACCAAGGCAAAGCCGTTGGCTCCTTCTAAGATTTGGTTCCGTAGACTAGCCTCGGGCTAAATGATTTGCCACCATGGACAAAAGGAGGCTAACCCCCTTACTCCAATTCATTCTATATGGTTGCCCCTACTTGCTAACACATCCAGGGCCAATTTGCCTGAGCATACAATGAAGACAGAATCCAGATGCTGTGCAAATCACATCGCTGACCGGTGCTTGCAAAAGGTGCTGGGTGCTAAAGACGGGGTGAAATTTGCAAACTTACCAATCCCTTTTTAGTTGTGTGCCATTTAGCACCCAGTGTGAAATGGGGTTGTCTCAGAAAATGGGAGGACTTGTACAGCGGGCAAACAAAGACGCCCGCTAATTGCTGCCTTCTGTTTGTTGGTTTTGCAGGGAAACCCCAAGAGAAGAGAGACAATCAAACCAAAGCCTTTTTTTCTGGGGCAGGTTCAATTGATTTAGGACATGGTCCTTCTCCAAATCCCAGCTGCCATAAGACAGTTGCATAATAGGATTACAAAAATCATACTCTGCGTAAGTATCCAATCCCCATTTGCCATGGTCAAAACACCAACAGCCCCGGGGTAAGGATGGTCATCGGCCCCTTGGTTGCAACCTAGACCACATGTAATGCCTACCAGAACTTGCCGAAATATCAACTTCATTTTCCATGCACGAAACCGGGATTCAAATAAGCCCCCTTTAAACATAGAGATACTTATTTTGGCGGGTCTTCCATTTTGTGTCACCAACAACTAGATACTTTCCTTTGTGGCTTCCCTCCAAAACCGATTTGTCCAATTCCTCGCCTCGGACAATGCCCGGCGCAGGTCGTTGATGACTTGCAGGTCTTCGATGAGCAGCACTTGGTCTTCCGTGCACGTATGCCTCCGAAGTCAGAAGGCAGCTCCCGAGCTAAAACCCCCCCGTGCTGCCGGCTATCTGGCCATGGGTCAAAATCCAAATTGTGCCCCCAGTGAACATCCCAATCCCCACTAAAATAGACTAAAATGGGTCGTGCACCTACCCCAAAATGGTACCATTGCTTTTGACTCACAGCCATCTGCGAGCCAGCTTTCATTCCCTATTACTTAGACACAACATGTATCGACCTAAAGGTCTGCCATTCTAAAACAGTTGCAACACCTGCAAAAGGGAATCGCCAGGTAAAGAGCTTATATGTCATGGCGGGCTCGTTTTACCCCCACTCGGTAAGCTAGCCATAAAATAGGAAGAACTACAGCAAGAAAACAAAGGACACCCATGCACAGCCTAGAGGTAAGTCAAACAGAGGCCAATGCCCTAAAACGGTGTAAATTACCCGCAAACCTGCTGTTGTCTTGATGGGAAAGAAGCACATGTTAGGTTTGATTGAAAGGAATTCCACCAACTCTTTCGGCCCTCTTCCATTCACTGTCTCCCATGGTCTCATCATGGCGTTGAAGGCAGCGACGTATAACAGATTGACGTTGTGAATAGAAAAGAAAAGGGACTGCAAATCCTGAAATTTGTACAGTCTGGTATGTTTTTCTTTCTTTATTGCTTTCTTCCTTTCTCTCTCTCTCTCTCTCTTTCTTTCTTCCTTCCTTTCTTTCTTTCTTCCTTTCTTTTCTTGCTTTCTTTCTTTCATTAATCCTTTCTTTCTTTCTCTCTCCCTCTCTCTCTCTCTCTTTCAATATTTTTTGTTCTGTCTCCTTCTTTCATCTCTCGTCACATTCTATTCCAAGCGTACGTATTTGCTGAGAAAAGAAGGGAATAGGATGATATCAGACAACTAATAATTGATTCGCAATTGACATCTCGTCTTCTTCCCATGCCATCTCTGTTCTGTGCCAAACACGGATACAACTCAAACATCTTGATCGTGAAAAGGGAAACTGCGATATTCCAAGAGGGAAGCATTTCTTTCGGTCGTACCAGACGGCAACCAAGAGTGAGTGCAACTGACACCACCTGAACATTGCGGGTGTGACTCCTTGCGAGCATGGATTCTGTGGGGTTGGCTGCCATGTCCCTCGAAACTTGACCATTGCTTTTGACAATCCGATCTGACCAAATGAATGTTTCCCAGACTTTGAGGCACACTCACATGAGCCAATCACGGACATGATTTGATTCTCTGCTAAATGGCAACAACCCCTAAATAACTTGGCTCGCCATAATTTTTTCGCAGTTGACATGTTGGGTTCATTCCAAAGATCGAGTAGTCTACGGTCTAGCAGAAACTTCGCGCAAAATACAGGAAACACTCTTTGTCCTTTGCTACACTCCCCTAAGCCAGGTTGCTCCAAACAATAGGTTGGCTCAAAAACGCGATCGTCACAAAGGTAGACATTTAGCCAAAGGCGCAGTATCAGCTGGCCAGTTTTCTACCGTGATTTGCTCATGTAACAACCCTGGTCAACATTCACGTTTTTCTGGGTCCATGTAAGTGGCATCCTCAAATTCACGCGCTCAATGGCGGCAAAAAGTAAGATCAGCCCAAAAGTAAGTTCAAGACCCCCTCGACATGTTCACTGCAACTCGCTTACAGGAAGCTTTTGGGAGGTGCCGGCAAGCGACAGGCATGCAAGCAAAGCGCTCAAAACGACATGCCAAGGAGCTCCAAGCCGTTTGGGCCCTTCATGGAATAGATGCGACCATCCATCAGATCGACGTCCACGTAGAGGTCCTCCAGGCCCAAACATCCCTGCCTTTAAGGGGCAGGGGGTGGGGCTGAAGGTTTTCCAATTCCACTGATCTAGTAAATGGAATCTCGGGCGGCCACCCCGCTCCCCAATTTCATTTTTGAGCGTGGGGATTCCAAAACCCTGTCTTTCTGTAACTGTCCTTTTGTGAATCCCCCGATTTCGTTCAGCCTTAAACCATCGCCGTTTGGCCCAATCAAGTGCTATCCACGTCGACTCCTTTCACGTCTTTTGCGACACCAAACCTGCAGCTTTGATGTGATTCGTGCGGATGGTCACAACCCCACTGGCCATAGTCATGGTCCTCTCTCAGGAGCCGGTTACATTGGTCGCTTAAAGCCCCTAAGAAGCAGGTGACCATTCCCACACAATCCATGCAGGCAATTGTATCCAACATTTGATCTACTCGGGAGTAAATGCGAGAACATATGGTGCACACGTGGACATGGAGTGTTTCGGATCCCCATCAAGCTCAAGAACAAAAGTCTTTTGATGAGCTTTCAGCATTCAATCTAAGTTTTGTTTTCGGATCCGCTGGCTAGCTTCTCAGAAGCCTACAGCTTGTTCTGGAATTCTACAGAAAATTAGTTTAAGGTTTATAGCTACCCTAGCTAACTCCAGGAAATTCTACAGGAAGTTGGCCAAGACCTTGGTATTTGATGGGCATTTGGCGTGTGTCCAGAGTGTTTGTTTTGCTTTGCTTTAAATAGGGGGGAAGGGTGGCTTCAAGCTAGGCCCTGAGAGCCCGAAGATTCGGCCATTCCCAATGCGGCATTCGAGGGTATGGTTTTTGGTTGAAAGAGAAGCCAAGATGTCCCTGCCCGTGGGAATACACTGCTCTTCCCATTGGTTTGGTGGGCTGGCAAAATAAAACTGAACCTTTTCTGCACCTCCAAGATAAGAAGAACCCAAGGAAGAAACAAAAAAAAGCTACAAACCTTCGCACAAAAAGTGGCTAGTTTTCCTCCATTTTCACTGGCTGCCCCGAGGGACGCATCTAAACTATACCCCTCACTCAAAATACAACTTAATTACCGTATAAAGTTTACGTAGGATCTGTCAACAAATATACTTATTTATTTACCATGGAAAGTCGTGTTGCTCAAAAAGAAGCACTTTTCGGAAAGGCATCTCTCAACCCCCCCCCCCAAACCACCTAACGAGGTCGCCGAATGGGATGTGCGTCCTGATGGTCTCGCAGAAAGGCGATCAGCAGCATGAAGGCCTAGCCACTCGGAGGCTGGAGGGTGGCTGCAGGTCCCCCAGCCCCCGTTTTTGACCCCAGAATTGGATTTCGTCCATCGATTCATACCCGGGGTGGAAGAACTGAGTAAGTCATAATTCGGGCCCCGTGGCTTTCTTTGGGGGACACTGGACATTTGGGTTATCACAAAGAAATGGACCCCCAAAACGGCAGCGCTCTTCGTTTGTTTTTCCAACCGGTTGAGAAGGCCCCGCACTCCTCATGACCAAAGTCCGACATGCGAAAACCCATCCAGCAAAGGAAACACGTCGCATTGACAGGATTATTCATAGCCTGGAGTCCACTCCAACCCCAACCGCACCAAGTGCGGTAGGGGAAGGCCAAAATCTTCCAAAAGGTCCAAGCCGGACAATTTGGGGTCACACCCGGCCAAGCAATAAACGGTGATATCCCCAGCACGGAACCCTTTGGAGCCCTCCGGAACCCTCCGGAACCCTCCCTGAAAGCTGCCCCAAACCACCCCAGAGCTTATTTGTGCCAAAACAAAAGCAATCCACTCAGACACCAAGAAGGCTTCGCAACCCCTCTCCCCCCTCCAATCCTCCAATCTTTGAGCGGATCCTTTTGCCATCTTCTTCCTTTTTTTCTCCGAGCGCCGGGCCATGAGGTTATGGCTTTCGGAGCTCAGCAATGTCACACCCTCCACCCAGGACATGTCCTCGCTTTCCGTCGCTTTCCGTCCCCCCGAGCCATCGGAGTGTGACCACTGGGTGGCCTTTCGGGAAAAAAAAAAGATGGGTTTCCCTGGTAAATGGAATACATCTCATCTACACCAGCGCCTTCTCTGTTTGTTTATACCAAACTAAGCTTAAAAGGACACCTATACTTACGACCTGAAACCAGAAAACAAAATGTGGGTTCGGGGTTCCATGGGAAGTTGGACACGTTTTGCGAAACCAGAGGAAACGCCGGAGGAATGTGGGGTGGCTGTTGATCCTGTACATAACCCGCACCATGCTCCAATGCATGAAATGCTATGCATGCACCACCTACCAACTGCGAAATTGTGTTTGCTCACCATAGCATGCTTGGGGTCCTTCTCCAGCTGAATCACAACTTGCCAGCTTGAAACAAGAAACGGACTCCCAAGAAAGAACACCATCTTGGTGCGGGGGCAAGCCTTCTGGCCGAGGCTGCTGTAAGGATGGGGGTCCCCCAAGTCCTTCTTGCCAGTCTTCCAAAGTGAAACTTTGTATGGACTGTACCAGGTAAGCTGGGTGTATCTGGGTGTAACAGGTAAACAACTGAACTATAGGCCGGGGTCGACATTGCACTTTTATAAAGCCGATGTGCATTTACGACAGGCAAACCTGAGCGGACCGCCCCGATTGCGGGAGCAATTTTTCCCGGTGGAATAAGCGAGGGTTCCAGCGTCAAAGTTCGGTATTGGTGTTGAAACAGTGGAAGTCTTCCTGGACCCTCCAACTACCCAGAATATTGGGACATCTCCAACACAACTTTGGGGCAATATCCAGCTTTTACGGGTAGTTTGATTGTCCCAGGTCCATCCTTTGACAAAATCAAGAAGTACATTTCGAAAAGGTGCATTTAGGCAAGTCAATCGTCCAAACGCCTTCGGACCAGAACTCCAGACTTGAAGCGTCAGAATTCATTGAACTACGGAGGCTGCAAAAGGTGCTGTCTTCAGCGTGGACATGTTTAGCAAGTTAATGCTAAAGCCGCTGATGTGTAACATGTGTTGAGCACGGAAACTGTACATCTCAAATGACTTTTGTAATGTCACCTTCCGGATGAGTAGATGTCCTTTCGATGGTGTACTGCTTGCAAGAGAGATGTGGGGGAAGCGCGAAAACATGGCGCCAACACCATTTTCGCTCAAACACCCCCTTCCTGAGTTGACTGGCCCAAGCACATCCAAAGTGTTCCTGGTGGTCTGGGACTCAGATGGTCGCTTTGTTCGTTTGTTTCAGGTTTGCAAAGCCAGCCCACAAAGGGTTCCCCAAAACCAGACACCCCCAGGATTTATCTCAATCAAACAGTTGTCCCATACTTTCGAAGGAGCTGCTGCAGCAGCATGTATATATATATATATATTAGGAGGGGATGCTCTGATGGAAATGTGGTAAGATAAAACATTATTTAGCATTGGCCTACATCTGGGGTAAGCCAAACATGATATGTTCCGATTCTGTTCCATAACCCTAAAACATATCGCACAGGCTGTCACTTAACCAATTCCCTAGCTGAAAAAGGAAGGGTCCAAATTTTGGACAGTGCCCTTTGAATTCCCTCTGTGAGGAACTACAGGCTCAATTCCTGAGTGGACTGGCCAAAAACACCGCGCAAACTTTTGGTTTGCCACTAAAATGGTCCTCCTCCAAAAGCGACTAAAGTCCAGGAACTCAGGAGCCCAACATGGAACCCTGGAAAGCAGTAAAGTAGGCTGAAACCTGAGGTTTTGCTCTGGCTCCTAAATTTTGTTCACTGTAGAAATCTTCTCAAGAGCATTTTGTGAGGTTCCGCTTCTGCCATTGCACCTGAGATCGTTTACCCCGCATGGCCCCTTGGGCGACAAGGCGGAAAAAAACCATGGGCGTGCCTTTTCTGGAGGTTGCCCTTGATGTTGGTGGATTGAAAGGAACACCAAAAGGAAAATCAATCTTGCAGGCCCGCCTATTTTGAGACTAGTCAAGCCATTCCAGTGCCCAGTCATTGAGACAAGAAAGTTGGCCTATGGAAGCTGACGGAAGGCTTTTGGAAAACGAAAACTCTCCTTGGGAAGGCCTCTGTAATTCCACTTCCATGGTTGGAAAGCGGGTGAAGGAAGCAAAGCCAAATTTCTGCCCCAGTGCGCTGTTTCTTTGTGTGTTTTTACATGTGGAGCAACCCTGTAGCAAGCTGGACTCGGATATCCACGCCTTGCTGTCTCCTCCTTGCGTTGTGGTGTAGACCTAAGAGAGTGCAAGGCAGGGTTCTGTGCCGCAAGGGTTCCCTATGCTCCCTCTTCTGCAACCCCCCAAAAAAACTCACGTCACTTGGCACCAGCCAGAAAGCCTGGAAGAAGAACAAACCCTTTCAGGGGTTGATCGGTTTTCAGTTTGCAAACAGTGGCAAGGGGCTATCTACAAGGACCCTTGAGCGCCTCAGGAGAAAGTCCAAACTAATGTTGAACCCGGATTACCGAACCCGTCCTATGAATAACGGATGTCACCTGCAAAAGTGAAGGATTCCACTAAAAGGGGACATCCCCCCTGATAGTCAAGGTTGAATAATTTGGATCCCACCCACTTGCCCTGCAGCATCACACTCAACAAGGTTGAGCTTAACACCAAATTACGTAGTTGAAAAAACCTGTTTTTGTCAAAAGATGGCCCATTTCCGTCATCCATCGTTGTCAACTTGCTTTCCTCCAGGGGTGGGTTTTGCACTCCGGATAGATTGACCATCGCTGCACCTTCCCACCTTGGATCAAGAATTCGGCTGCCATGGTCTTACCTTCGCAGCCTCTGGCTCCGGCCCTTCTCTCTCCGCTCGTTCCCATTTGCACATCGGCGGCGCCTCCGTCGCGCCTTCGTTTCGTCAAGAAAGCTCCTTTCGCGTCAAAGAGCGCTTCCTTCTCGTTTCCTTTTAAAACCACCACAATGGTCTAATTAACTTGTCTGAAAAGGGGCGTCCTTTTTGTTTGCCTGTAAAACCACCACAATGGTCCAAGTCACTTCTCTGAAAAGGGGCGCGTCCTTTTGATTTCCCTTTAAAACCTCCACAATGGTCCAAGTCACTTTTCTGAAAGGGGGCGCGTCCTTTTGGTTTCCCTTTAAAACCACCACAATGGTCCAAGTCACTTTTCTTAAAGGGCGTGTCCTTTTCGATTCCCTTTGAAACCACCACAATGGTCCAACTACGTGTCTGAAAAGGGGGGTTGCCTTTCGGTGTCCCTTTAAAGCCACCACAACGGTCTAAATTACTTGTCTGAAAAGGTGCATGTCCTTTCGGTTTGCCTTTAAAACAACCACAGTGGGCCAAATTACTTGTCCGAAAAAGTCAGCGTCCTGTTTATTTCCCAAGAAAAAAACACCACAATAGTCCAAATCAACTGTCTAAAAGCAGGCGATTCCTTTTGGATTCCCTTTAACACCACCACAATGCTCCAAGTCACTTTTCTGAAAGGAGCGTGTCCTTTTGGCTTTCCTGTAAACCACGACAATGGTCCAAGTCACTTTCCTTAAAAGGCGTGTGTCCGTTTGGTTTCCCTTAAAACCACAACAATGGTCCAAGTTAACACCACCACCATGGTCCAAGTCACTTTTCTGAAAAGGGGCGTGTCCTTTTAGTTTCCCTGTAACACCACCACGATGGTCCAAGTTAGCACCACCACAATGGTCCAAGTCACTTTCCTGAAAAGGAGTGTGTCCTTTTGGTTTCCGTTAAAACCACCACGATGGTCCGAGTTAACACCACCACCATGGTCCAAGTCACTTTTCTGAAAAGGGGCGTGTCCTTTTGGTTTCCCTTAAAACCACCACGATGGTCCAAGTTAACACCCCACCATGGTCCAAGTCACTTCTCTGAAAAGGGGCATGTCCTTTTGGTTTCCCTTTAACACCACCACAATGGGCCAAATTACTTGTCTAAAAAAGACAGCTTTCGTTTTGTTCCCCAAGAAAAACCACCACAATTGTCCAAATTACTTGTCTGAAAAGGAGCGTGTCCCTTTTGTTTCTTGGTAAAACCCCCACAATGGTCCAAGTCACTTTTCTGAAACGGGCGTGTCCTTTTTGTTTCCCTTTAAAAGCGAGATGCTTGTCTGAAAAGGAGCGTCTCCTTTCGGTTTCCCTTTCAAAACCCACAATGGTCAAAACTACTTGTCTGAAAAGGGACGGTTCCTTTTGGTTTCCCTTTAAAACCACCACAATGGTCCAAACTACTGTCTGAAAAGGGGGGTTGCCTTTCGGCGTCCCTTTAAAGCCACCACAACGGTCTAACTTACTTCTCACTTGTCTGAAAAAAGGCGTGTCCTTCTTGTTTCCCTGTAAAGCCGCCACGATGGTCTAAATTACTTGTCTGAAAAGGGGCGCTTCCTTTTGGGTTCCCTTTCAAAAACACCACAATGGTCAAAACTACTTGTCTGAAAATGGGCGTGTCCTTTTTGTTTCCCGTAAAGCCACCACAATGGTCCAAACTAGTTGTCTGAAAAGGGGGGTTGCCTTTTGGTTTCCCTTTAAAACCACAACAATGGTCCAAATTGCTTGTCTGAAAAGGGACGGTTCCTTTTGGTTTCCCTTTAAAACCCCACAATGGTCACATAACTTGTCTGAAAAGGGACGGTTCCTTTTGGTTTCCCTTTGAAACCATCCAAATTGCTTGTCTGCAAAAAGAGACGCTTCCTTTTGGTTTCCCTTTAAAACCCCAACAATGGTCCAAATTGCTTGTCTGAAAGGGGACGTGTCCTTTTGGTTTTTTGCTCTAAAACCACCACAATGGTCCAAATTGCTTGTCTGAAAAGGGGCCTGTTCTTTTTTTCCCCCTTTCACTTTCGGTTTCCCTTTGTTTTCTTTAACGTTTGGTTTCCGTTAACACCACCCTAACCCATCCAGCAAATCACGCCCGCTTCGCAGCTCATTTCGCCCAGGGGCTGCCAGCATGTCGTTGGGCCACGGCTCCATCTCCAGGGCTTCCGAGACGTCCGTGGAGCACGTGAACCTCCGCCCAGCCAAACGGCGCGGTTTTCTTTCGCGGCTAACCAGGGATCTACCTCCAGTCCAGTTGCTGGTACTTGCAACTTGGGGTAAACCCAAATTGGTGGCCTTGTTCTGTTTCCCTTTTTTAAGTTTGTTTATTTAGGTGCTTTTGGCTGTTGAGTTGTCTCAGTTTGCTTCTAGTTGAAGCTTTGCTTGTGATTAAAATGGCCCAGTGTGCAGGCATGTTGATACCGGCACCCTATAGGTTGGCGAGGCAGCGCAAGCACCCTATCTCGGCCCGCCCAGGGTACACCAAACATAAGACGTTCAGATTACGGTCCATATGCTGCCAACCTTAACATATATGTTTTGAGAAGATCCCAACTACGAAGGCTGGCGGTGTCCCATGTCCAACTCCTTAGGTGCTCTTTGGACATATGCCTCAGCTTCTTGTTTTCTTCTCTGCTTTTTTGTTTGGGGTATGATACCAGCCCCCTGACTGAATCCTTTTGTGTTTGCCATAGTTGTTTGTTGTACATATATGCTGAACATTTGAGTCAAAATCAAAACCTGCTATTAAAATGTTCGACCCAGAACCATGTAAAGAATCAAGAAGGCGGCCGCAACTATTTATGGCCGGGATTGTCCCTTACTAACCTTCACTTACCCGGGTTTTGATTGTGACTCATTTGGAATATGGGGGTAGGAGACGTTGTCATGATTCACCGGTGGTACAGAAGAGAGTCCAATCGGTGCAAAAAGAATTCCAATTAGAACAAACCTTCATTGGTGAGGCCAATCCCTCTTTTGTGAGGTCGCGATAATTTGCCCAGAATTAGTGTCGTGCGGAAAAACAACACATCCAACCAACAGTTGGCTCAACACGTCATATTGAACAATCTCACTCATGCTAGCAAATTCCGATGAGTTAAATAAGCAAAGCAATGACAATCTGCTATGGATACCCCAAAACTGAAAGAGGTAAGCTGCCATGCGTTCCCAAGGGTTGAGGATGGTCCCAACTCGCACTGGGCAGGAGTGTTGGCTGAAATGGACCAGTCATAGCCCAGGAGTTTCCAGGCGCGCAGCACCAACGCTGCGCTCAATGTGAACAAAGGCAAATCAACATGGCTGTCAACAAATCCTGGACTGGAGCAGTCGCATAATAGTTCTATCTTAGGTTTGACCCCAACCAATAATACCATGTTTGATCGTGTTCCATATCCTCCATTGTCTTAAGTCTGATGGACACAATATGAATATTTCCATTATTTCCCAGTATTGATAGATTCTCTTCCAAACCCACAGGGGAGAATGATAAATACCGTTAAGCAAATGAAAGTCATTGGGTGAACCTTCAAATGAAAGCCAGTGCAACAGCGATTGCAAAACGGTTGGCCATATACAGGTCCACAAGACCACGCCTGTGAAGCTGCCCGGCCGCAAGTGTGAAATCTTGCAACGTTGCTCAACTCTTTGGCACCAACTTGGCCCAACCCCAGGTACACCACTCCGCTTTAGAGAATCTGCTTTAAGAGGCAAGATATGGCTATGGGTCAAAACCCCGTACCCCCAGTGAACATCCCAATCCCCACTAAAATAGGTTCTAAAATGGGTGGTGCATCTACCCCAAAATGGGATCCCATTGGTGTTGACAACCACAGCCAAATGGCTTGCTGGGGCTCACCGCGTCGTCGCCCATGAAAAAAAAAACGGCATCGATCCCATCGATCCGATCGATCGGATCGATCGAGGCCACCGCCCAACGGGGTTGCGCCATTGGCAGCGGCCCTTGATGATCTGACGCGGGACCGATTTTTTTTTTGGCTGGTGCGAGAGATGCAGCGAATGACCCGGAAGCAAGCCATCCAACTTTTTTGTGGTTTCCTTCAAGAGAATTTCTGGGGTCATTCCCTCATTGCAGGAAAACCAGCCTTCCTGCGATGCCAAACCCTCCAACATGGAACCTACCAGAGAGAGGGCCCTCCATGTTGGAGGATAATGGTCTTCCGAAGTCAGGTTCCATGTTGGTGGTTAAATAAAAGGGAATGGGTTCTGGGGGGTACTATGGGTACTATTCTATGGGTACTTTAGGCTTTAATTCCAAGTTAAGTCATTATTATAGGGAGAGAATGTTGGTACCCATTTAGCCCTTCATATTCGTTGCAATCCCGACTCCATCACTGCCTTGGTATCACAAGGACCGTCCCGGAGCCAGGCTTTGCAGACTGGAAGGGACCTCACACTCCTTTGGGGGATCCCCCAAACAAAGAAAGAACATAACAAACACAATGAACCCCTAAGCTAGACTCAAAGCTAGACCAAAACTTGGATCGGTATGTTGGGGGAGGGAGGGCGGGTAGAAGAAGTTTGACCAGGACTCAACCGCAAAACTTTTTGGACTCTCGCGCATCTTTCTGGAAAGGACTTCCCAAATGCTAGCTCCGGGTGACAGGAACCCGAAGTTGTGGTGGATCCAGCAGAAAGGGCACCATCCAGAAGGCTACCCTTTTTCCCTGCGATTGTCAAGAGAAACCGGAAGGAAACCACCCGTTCTGAAGAGGGTCCACCATTTAAGGCAAGCCCATCCAAGCGCTGTTTCTAGTGGATTCAACCCGTTCTTTTATCAACCCTGGTGCTCTTCAAAAAGCAGCCGTTTCGCCCACGCTTCAAAAGATTGGGATCGGGTCCAGAATGGCAGGTCGGAAGTTACTGGTCCCCTGCCACGAAATGCTTGGCCCACTCCCGAGTGTCAACCAACAGACATGGCGTGTAGAGTGATTAGGTCAAGTGGGTCTGGGCTCCTTACACATCGCAAAAGAAAACTCAGCTAAGATTGGCAAGCAGCAGCTATTGTTGAGACCCACAGGGAACAGGGTTTGGTTGCTTGGACAAGAAAACTCAACTAAGATAAGCCTGAAACAAGAACACCTCTTCAGTCAGTCTCCTTTTGGTTTCCCTTTAGCAGCGATCAGGGACAGTGGCTCAAATAGGTCTGGGTCAGTTTGGTTGCTTGAACAAGAAACCTCCATGAAGATCCGTCCATATTATATGTATAATATATTCAAATTTTGCTTATTTCAGTCCCAACACCCAAAAAACCGTTGAACATGCAGGCACAGAAAGGGGAAGCACCTCAAAGTGCCTAAAAATCGGGGGCCGGCGGCCGGGACCCCAAGCCCGCCGTCAAGTGAGCAACAAGGCGCTGGTTTTCACCCGTTGACTTTTGGTATGGGCCAAAGTGGCTACAAAGCTGGTCGGCCTTACCACCCCAAAGACACGATCTTTACAAGCCATGGCGGATGTAAAAAAACGGTCCAAGCCTCACTACCCGCAAATCACACACAAAGAGCAGGGTACCTGGAGTGTCCTTCGGACCTGAGTAATGAACCATGTTTAATGGATGGAGACTCCTCTCGGGAGCCTATGGCCCCGGGAGCCGACGCTGCCCGTTGCCCGGCCTTTGTCTTCGGCGCTTTGCCCTGGCGCTTGCCCTGGCCTGGAAGTGCACCCGAAAAAAGCCCACGCTCGCCAGTCAAGCCAACTTGGATCCAACAGCCCACGCATGGCCCATGCCAGTCAATCTCTGTTGAATCAAGAGAATGTATAAAACCATTTGGGATAGTCATTACCATGGTGTTTGGCGAAAATACGCACTCTCTTGATAGCTGGCAGAATTGAACTGCATGAATGGGCCCACATATGAACCCCTGGCATGAACCCCTTCCTACGGTCAAGGGCCCTTCAAAGGGAACCTCCAAAAATGGCACCAAAAGGACCCTAGTAGTGCGCCTTATTTGTTGCTGCTGCCCCCTTCGCAAACCCTTGACAACCATAGATCATAGGACCCGTATCTTTGGCATAGTTTATCATTATGACTCTATTATGGGGTTTCATTAACCATCAACAGGGCCCAACACAGCCATGGACGCATATATACACATATTATATAAATACACATATATGTCTATATATCTACAAGCGTTGTTGATGTATTCCTTCATGCACACCGTTCATCAAATGGTTCCGAACAAACTGACCCATCATGCCTAGACGTACAGATACATACACATGAGCCGCGGACAGAATATGTGGTTCCCACGTGAAGGACACGGGACAATAAGTTTGTTAGCTCCCGGGTTTTTAGGTAAACAACTAGCGAGTTGCCTCATGCCCCTCCCAATTTTGACCACAGACTACTCATAGGCAGTTTGACCAAACCTCAACATGGCCTTGAAGCTGGAAACTCTGGTTGAAATTGGGTGTCGCGAAATCAACCACATCTCCCCTCGCTCGTTTGGCTGTATTTCCCATTGTCAAGTCTTTGGCGACAATGTCGGATTGCAACAAAACCCTGGATTGCAATGGGCCGTGCAGGTGGAAGCAAACCCAATCCAGCGTGGGTTGTCCAATGGTTCAGGACCTTGGGTTCATTCTGTCCGAATTCCAAAGGGAACCCCACCATTTTCGGGGTGTTTTAAGGCACACCTGAAATTTCAACTTTGATTCAACCGGGCCTTGAGATGCGTCGGGCGTGTCCATCATCTCCCAGTTGACCTGGCGATTCGCCCCCCTTTGGCCCCCCCCAAAACCTGTCCCGGGAGGAGGTGTCCCATGTTGCTTCTATTGACCAGGGAAAGCTGATGCCCTTGAACCAAAAATGGCAACACCAAAGCGAAGGGCGAGACAGTCCAATACATCCTGAGGACCCGAACATCGATGCCTGTTTTCGTCTAAAGCGAGGGACCCGCGAATCCGGGAGGTCCGAATTCCATTCCGAGGGCTTTTCATATCTACCAGATTTCACCAACCATTCTAGAATTCCGAAGGGATCATGGGTGAAAACAAACGCTTTGAACACATTGCAATGGCTCGTTGTCCTTAGTATATTGACAGAAGAAACCCAAACAAAGGAGCAATCCCGCTAGGAGATTCTACCTCTCAATACTTTTATGTTTCGTTCCATGCCACTGTCACCAGCGAGTTGAAAAAGATCAGGGAATCTGGAAACACCCTGGCCAAAGGCAAATCTTTTAGGATCCAGCATGCTCGCATAGCCCCGAAGATTGCGACTATTTCCCATGAACGGGACACTGGTGGCTTGGGCCCAGGCAAGACACCTGGGCCGTTTCCGAGCAAATCCGACGGGAGGAGCTTGAGGTAGCAAGCCCCCTGGGCTGCTCATCTCAGATGTTCACAGGCTGTCGTGGCCGGCAACCCGGTAATGCCTAAGGCCAGCCTGAGGCCAGCCGCGTGAGGCCACACAGTTTGTAGGCGCCTTGTGCCTTGACAGCGCCAACTCCGGAGAGGTCCACCGCATCGTACACCGCTGAAACTGTGAAAGTTCTGAGCGCCCTGGGAGATATGGGCCAGCCGAGTGTCCGACCCAAACTCAAACTCGACCAATCAAGAGTCTACAAACATACTAGCATGACCAAACTTGGTCTAGCACTGCAAAACCCAACTCTTAAATACATATTTTATATGCACATATGTATAGATGTATAAACTGAACATATGTTCATACAATTATAGTTTTATCTTTGCATTATCTTCGTAATCTCAGTGTCAATTGCCAGGCGAGTCATCCAGGCACCGATTCCTCGCAAAAGCCGAGGGCATGGAGTTGTGAAGCTGTCCACGTACCCTCCCAACGTGGAACCTGACGGCTTTCAATTTCTGGAAGACCGTCCAAAGGAGACCTGATGGTTCCCCAGCCCAACTCCAGGGTAGACCAAGAAAACATCTCCGATTTCTGCTAGGTCTGAGGTCAGCTTTGCTTGTTTTGAGGGTGCCCCCTTTTTTGTGGTGCTAAAGGAAACCACAAGAAAAGCCGGCCAATTGTTTGGGGTGGCCCCAAAGAAAGACAAGTCTACCTTAGAATACAACCCCAGGTTACCCTTTCTTGAGCGCCACCCAAGCAGGCCTCATAAGGCGTCACCGGCTTGTAGATGCTGATAGGAGGCCCGAGCTCCTGAAGGAAAACTATCGCCCTTCAGAACCCATGAATTCACAACTCCAAACGCCTGGGGCCATAGTCATGCCTAGCTAAATCCTTACCTTGCTTGTCTCAAATCCCTACGAGTAGTGGGAAAATTGTAGTTAGACATCCTCAAACCATCAAATTTAAGATGAACTCCTTTACACATAAATAAGGGCAAACAATTCGCAACACTATACTAAATCAAGCACTGGGATTCTGAGTTCGGCTTGGCAATACACAATTCAGAATTGGCAATACAAAATTAAGTACTGGGAATCTGAGAGTCAGCCTTAGCAATAGGTGCAGCGAATCTGCGAGTCAGCCCCACTCATACGAAGCAAAAACTACACTGCCTCCGTGCAAGGAACCCCTGAAACCTAGCGGGAAAGAACCGTCATGGGAAACGCCGGGAAACCGGCATACCCATTTTGGGCTGGCTTGATACTTCTAACACTGGGTTGCGGAAGCCTTGACAGAATCTGAATCAAACAGGGGCTCCCCTTTTCACAACCAAACAGACATCGTTTCTGGGCAAACTACCATGAATCCCTACTGGGATAAACCTCCTATCCCTATAAATACTGGGATAAAACTCCTACCAATTGGTTCAATGCTTGAAATTTGAAGCGCGAGCCTAAAGGCACCACACAACCCTTCAGTTCCCTCATACTCAATTCACAAATCGGCCTACTCCGAGGTGAGCTCGCTATGCCCAGCTTCATAGGGAAGTGTTTCTTCCACCCTGCCCTTCTATTGGCCCACAAACCGAACAACAAGGAGCATGAACCCTCAAACTACCCACAACAATGGGACCATCACCCCCAATATGTTGTTTTGTCTTTTCGATCTTTTTTGGGGTTGAATTGAAAGGAAACTAAAGGGGAACTATATAACCATTTTTTTAGGGGGGGGGGTACCCATATCCAACTTGTATGGCTTGAGAGTGCCGAGGCTCAAAACTCGCTTCGACTTCGAGTTCGCTCCTCGTCGCCGTGGGGCTCTTCCTCCACCTGATGGCCGCGGGTCGAAAATCGGCAAGGTTGACTCCCACTTTTTGCCACTAAAACGATCTTAAGAGTCACGACAGTGTTTGCCCTCAGGAAGTGAATAATGTTGACCTCATATTCATCAACCAACCAGTTTATGAATGGGGGGTGGAGCTTAGCTCCGCCAGAAGTGGTCTGATTCCAACCACATTTCACGCGGAAATGGACACCCCCCTGTTCACTGGGGTTGACTAACATGGGGGTCAACATTACCCTCAATGGAACCCACGGGAACTGGCAACGAGGCCTAAATCCTGCGGTCCTCTGCTTTTTTTTTGGGCCCATACTGTACCCATGTTCCAACCCAACTGATGGGGTGATGGGGTGATTACCCCCCCCAGAGACCAAATTGGAAATAAGCCAAGGTTCCCTACAATCCCCCCCTTAAACATGACCCCATGAGGAAGCTTACTTTAGATTGGCCCCAAAGCTTCCCAAAGGTGAGGTGTTTTTTCCCAACCCAAAGCAGGAACTGTGTTTGGACATCGTTTCGGCCAGCGCCCGAAAGACATTGGGCTGTGGTTCTACATTTGTCAAGGCTGTTGGCCTTACCAAAACCAGCATGAAACCCAGCAGAACGACCTAAAATGCTCAGAGGCGTTCGGCGTTGCTCACTTGGGAACTCTCCAGGGCTGCAAAAAGCCATGTTCTACCCTGTACACTGAAACTCTTTTCAACCATCATTCGGGTTCGGGGGTCTAGTTTAAGGCAAACAAAGCCACTTTTCCGTGTGTTCACTTGAGCTCCCACAAAACATGAAGACGGTGTTCCTGTCAGAGAGGGAGCAACTGTAAACCACGTTTGTTAGAAGGGTCCATAAGAGGGTCGTAAACCTTCCATACTGTGAGGACCCGCATGATAAGGACAGATCCTAGGCTTTGGAAGGGGGCAAGGACGAAACTGATCTGCGCAGCAGGTTCTTACCCTTTCGCCAACATCTAAGAATCCATCTACATATACGTAATATAGATATAATACAGGACATTCTGCAGCAAGTTTGCCACACATCCACAAACAAACAAGGATTTCCTGTAGAATGTCCTGTAGCAGGCTTCTTAGACAACAATCATGGAAGTGGACAAGGGGCGTTGTGAGAGGATGATCGTCTTCCAAAGCCCTGTCCACTTCCATGTTGAAAGGAGTATCGTTCACCGATCGAAAAGGGATCTCTATGTGGGTGTTTGTTGCCAAGTCAAAGGTGAATAACTTAGGCTTTAACCTGCCTATAAGTCCCACAAGTGGAGCTAGCCCAGTTGTAAGTAGGTTCTATCCTAGGTTCAAAGCCAGTTACTAACTTGGCCGACAGCCAACAAGTTGCCCAGCTCTGGTAGCAAAGGGCAACCTTTTTAGGGTTGACTCCTTGTTGAGGGATGTTTGGTGTGTCAGGAACTCACCAAAAACAAATCGGCTTAGAGGAAGCTACTGGACAAATTCAGCTCGCTCATTGGTGGTTTGGTGTGGTGAATTGGAGGTTAGGGGGGTCCCACAACCCCCTACAAGAACTGAATCCAAATCCAAACCACCAATCCAAACCACTCATTCTGGGTGTCACCGGACAAGTTGAGTTTTTGAATTACGCCCTTGAAATCAGAGCCGGGGATTATCGCTCTTGCCATTTCTTCGATGTCGCGCATCCTGATCCATTGGGATTTCCCCAAACCCTAGCCCTGAGAGTTGACATGTTGAGTATGTCCCTTTCAATTAGCATGTTACCCTTTATTGGTTGGTTTAACGGGACACCAAAGGAAAACCACCAGAAAATGGCCAATTTGGGGGTGTCACTTCGCAAGCTTTTCACTCCCCGATTTCCTCAAGACTTCGTCCATTTTTAGTGTCAAACCAAACAGTTTGGGAGCTTCTCTTGGCTCCACTCGATGGGAGGTGAGCATGCAATGAAACCAAAAACACCGTAAGAAATCAGCAAGTAAAGAACCTGCGGTGGCAGATGGAGTGAGTAGGGCTTTTACAATGTTCCACCAGAAGCCCGAGACCGCTGCCTCGTGCAGGTGCTCCTCCTCCTCCTCGCCCTCTATCTCCACCTGAGATGGACCAAAAGACTTGGTCAAACTGTCGGTTGTTGTTGACCCCATCTGGAAGTTCAACTGTTTGTGAGCTCAACATGGAAAACTAACTTGGTTTCAACCAAATGTTAAAGTTTAAAAATCAAAACCAATTACAATCAAGAAATGGGGGGACTTGCCTAAAACGGGGTTCCCTAGTGTTCCCAATGTTTTCTCCCTGGGCCATCACTCCAACGATCTGAAAAAGGATCCCTAGCAGGCCCCGAATCAGAAGCACTGTGCGCACCGGCCCTGCCGTGTTCTACTGAAAGAGGTCGACACACTCAGATCCAAAGCGGGGCTTCCGCGACGATCTGGCCTGATATCGTCGCAGGGTCCCTTTTTGCTGGGACGTTTGATTGTTCATCGGGGAGATCGTCATGATCACCAGATTAAAACGTCGAAGCTCGCACCTAAGGAATTGAAGAACATAAATACAGCGTTAGAAGGTGCTAAAACAGCTTCACACGGTGTTATCCCATGATCATGAGGTAAGTTTGTTTGATATATCGCAAGCGCTATAGCGGGATGCAGCACTACACGTATCACCACTAACGACCATGCACGAAGATTGCAACGTTGACAGCATGTGACTCGCCAAAAGCAGAAACCATCTGTGCAACCTTGGATAGGGCATGAATGATTCACGTAAAGTATGTACCTCGAAGAACGCCATCCGGACAGCTCGGAACTGCGCTTTGCCGTGCATTGGCAATTGACCTCCTCACCCGCGAAGAAGCTCACCCGCGAAGAAAGAAGCAAGCCAACAACACCCATCTGAGATGGAAACTCCCCCCACAAAAAATAAAGCGAGCGAACGGAACTAACCAATTGGGAACCCGTCTTCTTTCATGTTGACCAAAATCCGCGGCAAGCCAAACCTCAACTTGGGGCTTGGGGCAAGCTGGAAAACAAAATTTGGACCAAGCTTGGGGTACGCAAAAGGGACCTGGAGTCTCCTTCTGGTCCTTTCAACATGGGGTGACCCCTTTCGATTGAGTACCCCGCGTTTTCAAAGGGGCAGAGGGATATTCGGATTCTGGTGCATAGTCGCTCAAGGTTTTAAGCTTGATGGCAATGGCGAACATAGTTGCAACCAAAGTGAAACCAGCGCTATGTATGCAACATGGTTCTACCGGCGCATAAGCCTACCCCAACAACCAGGCAGGTATCCTTGAACATATTATGGGACCCGGACCCCAAGATGTTGGTTGTCCTTTTGGGCTTGCCTGAAAACTTGAAAACCTATAAACATCCACACCCTGGGTTGTCCTCAGATCCCCTGCTAAAAGTTCAACTCTTAGCGCGTGAAATTCGGAAACCCGACCACCAAACCAACCTAAAACCCCAAAAACCTAAGGAACCGGACGGCTAGAAACAACCACCCATTGAACTCCCTACCGGCCCCCCCCAGGTTGCTGTCTGAGATCGGCGCCAAGTGGGCGGTCTCCTGGAACTCGTGGGTCTCCCCGTCCTCGTGCTCGAAGTTGTGGTGCGCCAACTGCACCTCCTGCGGCTCGCGGTGGGAAGGCCGGGGCACGTCTGTGGGTGCCTCAGATGCCCAGTGGCCGTGGAAAAAAAAGGCATCCCTTTTTAAGGTTGGTTGACTTCAAAGGGGAACCCGGCTCCAAAAAAGGAAACAAGGGCGCCACTGGGCAACTGGGCTTTGGTTGGCTTGAAAGGGACACCAAAAGAACAAACCGCCGTTTGTTTCCGGGGGGTCCCCAAAAAAAGACACACCCAAATGTAGCGAAACTGGGGGGCTGTCACCTATTCCCCCCAATTCTTTTAATATTTCACCAACCTGAAATCTGGTGCCCCCTCCGAACCCATCGGAGAGAAAACCGCCGGAGCCCCACCGCGCCGGCTCCGGGGTCCGTAACGGAGGACTCCCCCTCGGAGGGCTTCGGAGCCACAGAGGCCTCCGCTCTCCGCTCTCCGCTGGGGTATCGTGTTGTTGTTTTGTTTTTTAAGGTTTTTTTCCAAGGGGACGCCCCGGAAAAGGGTGGTGTTCCGTGTGAATGGTTGTTTTTCAAGGGGGCCCCACGAATGAGCGGTTTTCCTGTTGGTTTCCCTTTGAAACCCAAAAGAGGCGTGCGCTGAAATTACACACCCGCTTCATTGTTTGGGGGTTCTTGTTTTGCGGGTGGATTCCTTTCTTCGAAAACGCCATCTGATGAAATGATTAACAACTGCGGGGTGTATGTTTAGGGGTCAACATGAGGTGGCCTGCTGGGGAAGACCACGCTGGAGAATGAGTTGAAGCAAGCTGAAAGGGCGCTGAATGTTCAAACTTACCAAACACACCCAAGCCACGGCACCACAGGGTCTATGTCGCCTATTTGTCGCACAAGCTCACAGGTTCCCCATGTAAAGGGCAGCGCGCGCCCTCCAGTTTTGTACCCCTCAGCTTTCTCAGAAGATCGATAAACCTATGCGTCTCCAATACTAATGCACAACCAGAGCACGCAAAGCCAAAGAAGGCTCATACGCACTCCTAGTCGCCGTTTGATTCCTATGACCCTCCAGTGATACAGCTCAATGCACCCTTTATCCAGTGGGCTTATGAACTTATGAACGGCTTCTTTACCGGGTTGACTGTCCTTAGTAGCAGCCGTGTCAACAAAAGTTGCACCTCCTCAGGCTCGGATCAAGTAAACCCCTGGTTGACGCATGAGGAGTGCAAAATCGATTTGTGGACCCCACCCAATCAATCGTTCATTCATGGGGGGTCGATATGGATCTCACACCAGGGTACCCTAACTCACGTTCCAAAAGGACATGGACATTCAAGTGCTTGCCAAAAAACGATAAGCCAACAGCTTGAAAGACCGAGTTCGAACAGAGAACACGTCCATGTTCAGCTTCTGTCTCTTCATCAGTCAACAATACAAAACCACATCGGAGCACCCAGAAATTATCGCATGAAGCATTTGCCCTTCATGACCAAGTCATTAAATCATATATACATATCTACATACATGTGTCTCCCCTGAAGCAAGTGGATGCCGTCTCCAAGCTCACTCCCCGAGCTCCACTCAAAAAGCCGGCTCCTGCGTGGGCGACAGATCGCCCTCCGATGCCTTTGGCGATGCCTTGGGCAGGTCCTGCGGAAAATTCGCCCTTTCGCCTCCCTGCTCCAAGTACTCACTTCCCCGAAGGACGTGGACCGGAACTTTGGCCATCCATGCTCCCAAAACATACCACGTTCAAATGTTGTTGCTTGGTCGACCCTATGCAACATAGTCCTGGAGCTGACCCCAGTTCAGCTTCCTCCAGGGTGGCTTGTGATACGGAGCCAAACACGCAAGCAAGCAATCAACCAACCGAACCAACCGAAAATAATCAATGTTGGACCAAAACAATCAATGGTTGGATGATTTATTACATCAAAACCATCAACGAACCAACCGGCCAACACAAAGAAAACCCAAACATGGCTGCGGAATATCGCCCGGTGATACCAACCTGGGCCATCCAATTCCAGAATCGTGGACCCACCATGTTGGGGCAAAAGCCAATTGTTCGAGGGTATTTTGAGGGTTTAGGACTCCTTTGTCGCTTTTGGTTGCTCCCTTAGGGAACACATGGCCCTAAAACCCTATGTTCCTAGGGGTGTGTCCAAAGCATTTTCGCAGACCGCATTGGAGGATGGCATGAAGTTACTACTGACTCCTTTCGGATTCCCTTTTGGGGTTTCTCCGGGCGAGCATGTGTTATAGCTTTAAATATTCACTTGTCTTCTTCGGGGCCTGGACATAAGATGTGAATTCGAACCTTGCAACATGGTGGTCCGGTCAATGGGTTCTAACCGCTGGGTTCAGGGATGCTTGGTTACCATGTGGCGATCGGAACCCCTTTGTTGGAATCAAGCTGGCGGACAAAAGTGAAGGATCCCTTTAAGGGATGTCCCCCGAATCAACATCGACCGAAGTTTCGATGCGTACATGTATATAATATACATATGTATATACAAATATGTATACAAACATGTGTGTATATGTTTGTTTGGAATGGGGTGTGTGTGTGTGCTGGAATGGATTACAAAACTACTTCTTTGGATTCCACAAGACCAATAAGGGGCAAAATAATCAGAGTTGGTGATTTGGGTACTTTAGAACCAGCTTTAGTCATGATTATAGGACTAACACGGTACAACATTGGTCATTATTCAGCCCCTTACATCTCCTTACAGTACATCACCAATGGGAATCCTCCTTTAAAGTCAAGGAATACTCTAGGGCCGTTTTGCACACAGCAAGGTTCTGATTCAGGGGTGAGTCCGCAAACCTCCCAAACGGGTCTCCCAAACGGGTCTCTTGATTGCCTTTTTTCCCTGGCAGTTTCGCATCCTCAAGGAAATAAACTACGCAAAGAAGGCCCTCTCCAAAAACAACACGGTGTGTCTCTTTGTTCTGTTTGTACCCTTGGGCATGTTGTTGAATGCAAACCAAACGGCAAACCACCCAGTTCTAGGTGCCCCACATATTGTAAAAAGAAAAGGAACAAAAAAGGAAAACAAAACTTACAACTTACAACCTTTCAGGGAAGAACCAATCTTCTGCAGCGAGCTGCCGCTGGCCCGTTTGCATTCCACTACTGGGTTGCTCGAAGCCGCTGTGAGCTGAAGGTCCTTAGACCTTGTGTACCTATGGAAGAGCCATGTTCAACAAGGTCCAAAACGGGGGCGTTTGGAGTCCCACCCCATGGGCCATGGCCTTCAAACCTCTTTTTCCGCCAGGTCCAAACTTCCGCGGCCTTTGGGGTCACACCCGGCGGACCAGCCGAGGGTCTTAAAACCTTTAATGCCCGAGTCGGGAGGGGCCAGGAACGGTCGGGTTGGCGTGCTGGCAACGCCCGCTTTCGTTTTCCTCGTCGCTTGGGGCCGATTTTGGCCGTGCACCAATCCACAGCCTCGCTTGAGATCTGATCATCTGCGCAATTAGAGGGGCCTACCCAAAACCATTTCTCTTTTTGTGAGCCGATTCGCACAAAGCAAACTATGCCTCCAATAGGTCTTTCCAACAAGCAAACAGCTAGGGAACTCATGAAGTGAGTGGTACTCGAGGAATCTATCAAAGCCAAGAATCAGAAGGACGGCCGCACCAGTTCATAGTTGGGACTAATGCCCTACTGATCCTCAACTACCGAAGGAACTGGAACCAAGAAACTGGCCTGTTGGAACCACCTTTTGGCCCGAAAAAGACACATACAGTCGATCTATATGCCTATTGTGTGGGTAGTAGTGTCAGTGTCCAGGCTAAAACGAAGGCTCCTTACAAGAACCTTCATGCATGAGACTACAACAACATAGCGGCACACAATACTTTACGATGACCGCAATTAAACTAGGTAGTAGAATAGCCTACTACAATGACCAGTGGGTGTTTTGAGCGCTGCCCAAATTGCGTAGAACCATGAGCAAAAATAGGTCAACAAATGGCCCAATCTGCTTCAGATGCACGTGAGCCGCCAAAGCCTGAAAACGGGATACTCACTGCCGAAAAGGTTGTTTACCTCTAAAACAGTTCTCCCAAAAAGTCACTAAAGTTCAGAAACTCGGGAACTGACCACTTCTTCCACTTGTCAGCTGGTTTGGATTGGTGGTTTGGGAAGTTGAACCCTGGTTCGTGAAGGTCAATGGGAAGCCACCTCTTAACCACCAAACCACCAATCCAAAGAACCAATCAGATAGAAGCTGAACCTGGCTGGGTTGCCTTTGGCTCCCCAAAAACAAAAACGAGCTCGACGGCTTGCATCATGGCCATTGCAATTTGCCTTTGGCAGATTTCCAAGTAACAACGGCCCTTCCCCCACAGCGCCCCCCACATTCTCCGCGACACACCAAAAACGAATCTCAAAACATGGCCTTTACAGGTTACTTGCTGGTGCGATAGCTAGGGAATGACCGAGCCCGGGTGTTGGGAATGAATCGCTTTGGGATTCCCTTTAAGGAACCATAGGACGAATGGTTTATAGGGAACATTCCCTCATTCCCTGCTAGCAAAGGTTACGGTGATGTTTTCCTGGAAAGGAAACACGTAGCAACTCTTCAACCGGCAATCTGTAGGCTGCCTCAAGTAGAAGGCTGTGCCATGATCTTTGGGTTGAGCTGAGCAGTGTTTGCACCTGGACGCTCGAACTAGCCATAAAATCGGGATATTACCCCAAACATAGGAATGGCTCTCCATGTTTATGGGTAGGTTCAGGGTGCAGGTCTGCTTGACACACCGGAAAGACTCGGAATCTCTAAGGAATAGTCCTGGGTATTTGTGCTTGCTCCTCTAAATCCCCGAGGCCGGGGTACTGCTCGATGCAATTTGCGCAAAGGGTAGAGAGGGGTTCGTCTCAAATTAGGGCGATTCAAATAGTCTGGTCTTCCTTTGGCTTGGCGTTCAATCCATCCCAAGGATCTCACCCTTCAAATCAACGACGCCATGTGACCTACCCACATCGAACCCTCCGTTCGCGGCTCACGACTCTCACCGGTCTCAGACTTCGAGCCCTGCCGCGCGCAAAGAGGTCAACTTTTGCCTCCATTTGCGAATATGTCCCCTGGAAAAAAACATGACATGTGGATGGTTGCGAAATCCGTTAAAAAACACCACTTTGAAACCATGGTTGAAACCATTGGTTGTTGGTATTTACAGGGGAATCATCAGTGCAGGATTTGGTCCATCCACAGTATTTCCAGTGATAGATTCCCTTTAAGACCAACAGGGGAAAATTGCAAAACCTCGTCTTGGGCAAATGGAAGTTTAGGGGAAGGAGCCGCTTGCAGGGCGAAGAGAGGCACCGACATCTCTTGGACAGCTTGCTTGCAAACGACAGAAAGGTTTGGCCGGAAACAAGTCATGTTCAAACACGTCTGCCTTGGGGAAGGCTGAGTGAGGCCCTTTTGGTTGTCCATGAGACCCAGTTGTTTGTTCCAAAAGAACACTTTGTAGACAAGGAATTCCACAGGGCCAGGCGTCAGAGGTGAAGCTTCGGTGTGGATAAAGGTTTAGATCATTCGTAAGGCGTCTTCTTGTTGGGCTTGGACCCTCCTTAGACCCGCCGATCGCTTTCAGGGGATTATTATAACATCTGCAAGTCATGCGATGTCTTGAAACATCGGAATTTGGGAAGCCGCATGGCGGAATGCGAACAAAGCAAACCCGAAATGAAAGGGCCTCCGGATTTGTGGGGAACCGCCCAAGGCCTTTTGTGTGGTTTAGTTTAATTCTGTGGCTGGCGACCAGAGGCTTGACAGACATTTTGACTAAAGTGTTAGGTTGCTCAGGACGTTACCTTTTCGAGCCATAACGAAAAGGGGCATGAAACTGACCATTGGATATCATTTCGGGGATTCATGTCCATCCACTTGACTTCTCCAGGGTGTCTTTTTTCAGGGTACCCTTGGGGCGGTTTGAAACGGAAGCCAGAAGGAGAACCACGGTTTTGGGGGTCCACTAAAAAAAGCCACGACGCCATGTAACCCAAGGCCTGCAAACTGGCCTTGCTTTCGGCACCAAAAACCTATCCAGACCTCTAGGCCTGAAGCCAAGCTGACAGCTCCGCTTGAGGGCCATTGACTTCTGGACGTGACTGGCGGGTCTCTTGTAGCGAATAATGTGATTGGTTGGGTGATATAGTCGAAACCCTGACTTCAATTGTTTTCGTCCACCAGAAGAAGATTCAATGGAGAAACTGTTGGCACTAAGGTGTACACTCAGTCTTCATCATTGTGTCTTTGTTTATGTCATATTGATTGCTTTTCCTTCCCCCCCCAATGCATTGCTGCGGATTCAATGCTATGCCAAGAATCCATTCCTTCCTTTCCAAATGATGTTCATTCCTGGAATCTCCAGTCATTTGGATGGAATAACAATCCCATCTTGTTCATCTGCTTTTCTTATCAATACTGTGTATCCAGTTCACCCTGACATAATCCATACCCCTGAGAGTCTCATCTAACTCTCATCTCCGGCTTCCCCAAAGGCCCTTCATCTTGAGCAGGTCGTAACATGAGCAAAGTCCATCTAGTAGCACAAAAACGCCTCCAACCTGCGGGCTGAATCCCCTTCTCAGATTCTCACACATGTGCTCAGCACCCAAGACTAACAAGGCAGAACTATGACACGACTACTGTTCACTTGGGTTTGGGTCGAAATTGAACCGCTAGGGGACCGCAGGTTCCATTTTGGGTACTCTTGTTTGACCCCACAGCCATTTGGGGTTCTCGCGAAAGACGCAAGATTTGGTTGGGGCGCGCTACCCTTCATTCATCCCTCCTGTATCTTCATTTACCCCTTCGGGGTTTGCCCAGGATGCAATGTACGATCTAATCAACCCGGAGCCGCAGAATTAAAAGCTGGCTTCCCTTTTAATTGAGGACGAATGTAGTTTAGGGGGATCGCTCAGATTTGCGCTGTCCTCGTAACCTCAAGTCAATGATAGTCCTGTTTGGTGCTACCCCTCGCAACCCAAGAGGAAAGTCCTCCGAAAGTGGCGTCCCCAAAAGATGATCCTCCTTTATGTTGGGAGTTGCTGTAGTCTTTCGGAAGCCCTTTTCGTGGTGTAGCAGTGGAATCCATTTCCCACAGCCCGGTTTTTGGTTGTCCATGGCTTTCCCATGGCTCCGCCTTGCAGCAGCTTCTGGGCCTGCTCCCGGTACTGCGCCTGGTCCTGCGGAAAAGATCCGCCCTGCCCCCCCCCCAAAAGTGAGCTCCTTTTGGTCGGAGAAAGGGAAGCCAAAGAGTTGGCAGGGGGCCATTCTTGGAGCAATGGCATGGGGAAACTGGGAAAATGAAATGCGTGCCCCGGTGCAAGCCGGGAACTCCGACGCGTTCCGTTCCTGCTGGTCGCGGAACCCTCGATTGTTGGCCTCTATCATGGACCTTCAAGGGCTGGGGCGGGCCATCAACTCCTTGACATTTGATTCAGGGCTCCACCTGGGCTTTTCATCCCCCAGTGTTCTTGCAACAGGTGGAACCGCAAGGGGATCCGACCCTGTCGCAGGGCTGTGACTTAAAGACGCAAACAAAGGGATCCGCGCAGGAATTCCAGGTCAGCATTCAGGGGTGTCATGAAAACGCCTCTGCGCAAACCAGCAACCTTTCGGGATTGGATCCCCTGTTTGTGAACTCCAAAGCGGATAGCCTAAGGATTCCATCGGATCAACACCATCCAGGGATTCTGCTAATCAACTGGTTCCCTTTAAGTGGCTTACGACAACCAAACTACTGCAAATACCCTTGTTTGCTTGGGGTACGGCTGGCCACACTTAGACCACCCTGCAAGCTAACTTTACCCTTTGAAAGGGCACGTGCTAGAAAGCCAACAGAGGCAGTAAGCCATTGGTAAGGCAATGCTATCTTAAAGGTTTTGTTTTTGGGCTCCCGTACTTGTACTTGAAGTCTTTCAAGGCTTCCCAAGACAGGGTTCCCAGTAGGTCAAGGCCTTTTTCCAAGTATGGGTGTTGGAGGTAGGTAGGTTGTATATACCACTTGTATAAGCTTTACAAGCTTACATTGGTGGTATGTAAGCATCCATGCCTCCAAACCTGAGACAGGCCTTGACTATGTCCCCTGACAACATCACCCCTACCGTTTGAAAAAAAAGGGCGCATCTTACAACACCTTCTTTCTCTGCGAACTTGTGGTGAGGTCATCCTCTGAAGGAGAGCGAGCAACATCATACATCTGGGGTACGCCCAAAATATATTCTTCATCCTCTGAAGCCATATCCCCCGAATAGAAAATATCAGTCTGCCCCCAAAGCTTCTGCTTCCCCCAAATTTATAAAATAGCAGTCTAGGATAGTCTAGGGGTGCGTCCAAAATATCTTCGTCAGATTCTGGGCCGTATCCCCCAAATAGAAAATCCCCAAAGCAGTCTTCTCCTTTTGGAGGAGGCCCCCGCACAAACCTTGCCCCCACCGGTCCTGCACGGCCCGCAGCGCGCGCCAGTGAAGCTCCGCCACCTGCGGCACCTCGGAGACTCGTCCAATGGAAACGACCCAACCCGGCGATGCCCAAAAACTAAGGGGCGTCGCACATAGCTTGTATGACTAGGTCCTCCAGTAGAGAGGATAGAATAAGGGTACCAACGTTTTTCTGTAGTCTATTTTAGTAGGGGAACCTTCCCCACAAAAAGGGTAAAAGGGCAATGCTGGGGGACCTAGATTAGCACATGGGCCGCAAACAAATGGGCTTGTATTAGTCCAAACGCTTCCTTAGGCTTCCTTTATGAATAGTACAGCAACCATAGCGAGTCATCTAGTTGTTTCATCAAATACATATTTGATGAGTAATGTGACACAAACGTCTCTAAATGGCTCAGCCAAAAAGCGCTACACTCAACACATCTAAAACTTTCTCTGTGGCATTGAGACAAGCCACAAAAGAGTACCCTTTAAAAAACACCGCACTTAACTGTCACCTGTGCCCACTCGAGGAAAAACGGGTTCCAGTTTGTCTGATCAGGTTGAGACCTGGGTGTGTCGTATTGGGGAAATCAAGTATCCCTGGGTTCACGTCTACTTTGGGTGCAATCAACAATGGAACCCGCATTGAATGCATAACAACCTGAAACACAAGAAGCAAATGCAGAATGAAGGTAGTTCATCAAAGCAACACACACACACACATCATATCGGTATGCAAAGACACAAACAGAAACATATGGAATAAGTCAATAAATACAATGATTGCTTGGCGTACTCATGCGTCTCCACAGAAATTGAGTGATTCCCCCGCGCAAACTTCAAACCGGACTGGAACTCCGACGGCCACGGAGTAGGTAGCTTGCATATTGTGACATATTTCAGCCACAAACAAAGCCTCAAGGAATGGGTGGGTTTTCAGGAATCAATCTTAAATGAATGACAGCCAGAGAATGTCAAAGTCCCAGGCAAATCTGAATTGGGCTTCCGACAGGAATGAAGCAATCCTGCGCTTTTCGAGATGCCCTTGCTGCAGGACACATGCACGCCTCTAAGGGCAGCTCTGTTGATCGAGGTTGGAGCAAAGGACCGACAGCACCCAAACCGGGCGCGTACCGCTGCACACACCAACGAGATGGCCCAAGCGAAAGAAATCTCAGCCTCAAGGCGCGTACGGCTCAGTAGACCTCCGGCCTGTCACCCAAGTCGGCGTAGGAAGTTGCATCCCCATCACCGAACCTCACGTCCATGGTTACCTGTTGCGACAGGTTCAAACCAGCATGAAAAACAGGTGTTTAGATATACCCACAACTATTTGCCTAAGGGGTTTCATCTTCTGGATTGGGTCAACGATTCTTTACATGGGGGTTGAATCGTACATGCGGGCCTCGAGCCCGTCCGATGATTCCAGCAAGGCTTGCCCTATGGCAGGTCGCTCAAGCTTATTCCACAACAGATCCCAGAGGCGCCCGTTGCCTTTTGCCCAATTTTTGAACATTGAGCTGGACCCTATGAGCATACGCCTCATTCTTTGCGAGTGTCCAACTTCCTGACTGACTAGGGCAACCTCTCTTGAGTTATGCTCGCATCCTGGACCTTCCTACCCCAGCCAGGGACTTTAAAGTGCCCTGAGCAACACTGTGATGCTTGCAGGGGGAATGTATTCCGAGTGAGGTTCAACCTTGTCTTGAAGATTCCACCGCTACGGTGGATGGATTTCAACTCAATACTGCAAGTAAAGTGTCACAAGCCACGCGTGGTGAGTCACAGATTTGGCATAGGACTGCTCCAAATCAGGCCTCAAAATCTACAGCCGAAACCTCGACATTCTCCAACCAGCACCCACCGTGCTTGCCCAAAAATGCTGCAAACCCCCAACCTTGCATGGGTTCCCTGGCATCTGCATTCTAAGAACGTTCTGCAATGTCAACACGGCATATATTGCCATCCCCTTGTGACTTGGGGAATCTGAACATTCTAGGCTATGGACCAACCACCTGGATCGCCAGTTGCTGCTTTTTGTCCATGCACTTTACCCCAAACACCAGCAACAGTGACTGAAAAAAACAGCAACTTGGCTAACCAACCAGCCATTTTAGGACACCATGGTTGCCCCGCGCTCTGGCAGAACTGGGCCCTCGCGCGCCCGTGTTGAGGTGGCTGACTTGATGCGAGAACTCCAGGTATCGAAGCCTCGGAAAACACGGCGCAGGCGGTTCGAGTAGGACTGTTCTAGGGGTTGAGTCCTTTTCCATGCTTTTCAACCATCGCTCTTTTCAAAAACCGATCGCCGTTTTCCTGGGTTGCTGAAGGTTTTCTAGAAAGAAGGGTTCCTGGAAAGAATGGGGAAGATACCTAGGACTGTGGACGAAGGAGCCAGCATCTGCACTGAGACACGCTCAAACGGACAAACACGATTGAACATACATCCGACATAAACAACAGGGTCAATTTTCACCAGTCGTAGCACAACCCCAAAATGAACAAAAGGAGGGTCAGCATTCGGCATGACTTTCCAAGTAAGTAATTGGATTCCCCCAGCTGCAGGTTGCTCCAAAGCTCCTGGCACAAGGGCAGAACTTTGGCCCCTGAGACAATGCGCGAGGAAAAGAACCAATAGGCCTCACCAGGGAAAACCTGGGTTTGTCAGAAGACAAGCTGAAAAAAATGAAGAAACAAAACGGGTGTTCGGAGCAAGGAGGGTAAGTCTTAAAGGCTGATTACTTTAACGGGGACATCTTGGAGTTGGACACCAGCCGGTGAGTTGGAAGGTACCCCGCAACGCCTCCTAACTGGAAGCCAGTTCAAACCACCAAGGAAGGGTGACCCGAGTCTCGGGTCAAATTCCTGGCATGGAAGGCATCATACGTGGATTCGGATTGCCACACTTTCTTTCGCAGGCACCGCTTTCCTCCAAAGGCCGGGTCTTTGGCTACATGTTTCACAAGGGTTGGGATCCTACGACAATATATGCGAATGGGTAGGTCAAGCCCAAACCTCAGTACGTCAGGACCCACCAGCCCATAAGTGCTGCCGTCGTACGCAACGCCCAAAGGGGAGATGCCATCCTTGGCCTCCGTCGTTGCCTTAATAGCTGCTGGCCTGCTCCTCACCTTCGGACCCGCAGATCTGACGGCGAATGGCAACGTCATCCGGGCCAAGCGCTCTGGCCTGAAGTGAAGCCACCCACCCCGGCGCGTCGCTCTCAGAACTGCGTTCTCTGTCTGGTTCTGTCGCACCATCTGGCTGTGCATCACGGTCTCCAGGAAGCTACGGGTAGTACCCGGCAAGATGACGGCGCAGCCGAAAAATGAGTCGTCTTCACCGGTCATGACCATCGCCCCCTGTAGCACCATTAGTTGGAAATGTAGAATACTCCTCTGAGACTAATTAAGGAGCCAACAAAGAAACTTGGGGTATCAAGTACTATAGGTGTGTGAGGGTGTGTTATTTTCCTCGATAGGGACAAATGAATCCCTTTCAGCGTAACAATGCCCCCCAGAGAAAAGAAAGACAAAAAAGACAACTAAAGGGACGAGTCTCCTTTTGGAGAAAGGACCCCTTCTTGATTCCCTGTTTATTTTGTGGGGAGATATACCAGAACAGATCAAGCACCGCGAGCGCAAGAACGTGTGTCAACATCTGAACTTGATATAGCGAGTCCTTGCGTCCCCTTTGGTCAGAAGCTTTCAGAGATATCGCACCATGGCTAGGACCCGTCAACTGTCCAAATAATCTACCAAGGAAAATGGACTAGTACGTAGCCGACCACCAACTAACATGGAAGTGCATAGACCCCTGTAGAAAGACTACTTTCCTCTTGGCAAGGGCTTTTGTGCACTTCCATGTTAGTTGGTGGGAGTGTAACTGGATTGCTCCAAGCCCCCGAGCAAAAGTTAAATGGACAAGCCATTTGTTTTCCAAAAGGTCTAAGGGGCCTTTCGGGTCACACCAATGACCAAAGACCAGCCAAGAGAGAATCTGATGAGGTCTCAGTAAAAGGCCTGTTCGGGCCATGGTCCACCCGTGTGGGTGAATTTGAATTCGGGGCCTTTTGGGGAGGGTATCTTGTCTTTGTGGAGGGGGCCCTGCTTTGGATAGTTTAAAAAGGAAAAACAGTCCGCTTTGGGGTTCCCTCATTCCGAGTCAACCCCATTTACTTGTTGGGAGTTTATGCCCACACATCTGTAAGGCAAATCCCCAGCATCAAGATCCGCAGCCAAGTCATAATCAAAACCCGGTATCGTAATGGTCCACCCAGAACCGTGAAAAAAAAAGAGTTGGAGATCTGCAGCTATCTATGATTAGGATTCTCCCTCATCTACCCAGGCTTTTATTGCGACCCCACTTCAGTTGCTGCACATAAGCCCCTGGTCAAAAACAGGCGGCGTCCCTAAAACCGCTCACCCGCGACCCCAGTCCACATGTCACGCGTCCCATGTCCCACATCCCTGGCTCGTTTCCACGCGGCTCCACCGATCACCCGGTCGCCTCCGTGGCTCCGTGGCTCCGGGCCACAGCTCCAGTGCCTGGGGCGTGGAGCCCAAGAGCTCCTCGAAGCCCCGGGAGATCTTCTTGGCCTGGCGCTTTCCGCGGCGCCCTTTCGGTGGTCAGCAGGTGAGGGGGGAGGGGGGCAGGGGGAGGGGGGGGGGGTGCGATGGGGCCGGGGGGATGAGGGGGGAGGAGGGGCGCGCGCCTTTCGGTGCGTGTTTTCATGAAGTGGGAAAAGGAAGAACACCGATGAGATTCCTGATTTTGTTGTGCTTGGTGGCAAGTGCGTGAAAAGAAACACCACAAGTGGGGGCTCACAAAAAAGGCCACACTCACGCGGTTGCTGTGGGTGCGTGCTTTCTTGAGGCTGCACCTTTCTGTTGTATGTTTGCTCCTGGTCGTCCTGAGTCGCGATCAAACCATGGCTTGCCCAAGGGCAAAGGGCACCTTGGCTGAAGGTGCGGCATGGTCAAAAATGTGAATGCTTCTCAAGCAGACATGGGAAACAGGGAGTTCGTAGCTGGTCTTTGTAAATTTAATGCGACTTGTTTCTAACAAAACAACACCTATCAAATGGAAAGTTGAATAATAGACATGTAGCAGCGAAAGAAGACATAACTCCCAGGGAAACCCGAGAAACAATCAACCAAGCTTGTACCTTTGTGTTTTTGGGAAAGGGTTTCAATAGAAGGGCCCAGACTCCAATAGCACTATGAAGCCAGGGTTGGTGGGATCCCCACCATTTCCTCCCCCCATTGCGGTTTTTATCATCTTGTACTGGGTCCCTTAAAGGTAACATGGTAAGGGGCTCTCAAACAATTATTTTGAAGCTGAGTTCCCTTGAAGCCTCCTTTGAAGGATACTTTTTGACATGTTGATGTTACCTTAGTGGATCCACGGGAACGGCTCGCGGCACGGCTTGCTGGGCCCAACTTGGGCCTCTTGGGATGGGATCGGAATTTGGCGACCCTTCCCCTGGTTGCCAAGTTTGTAACTTGTTGGCATGGATTACACCCCTCTTTTGAGCCCCCCTGGGTGGTGGTAAAATTGTTACTAGGTAACAACCCAAATGGGTGCCGAATTGGGGGTCTTGAATTTGCCTATGGTTTCTTGTTGGAGCATTCTACAAAACCACCACGCCACAATCTCATTTTGGCTCCCGGGCTGCCCGCAACTTGTGGAAACACACACACACACACACATTTTTCAGGGGTTGAAATGTCTGACATGTGGCCTTTAGCCCTGCTGAGGCTTGGCAAGTCTTTCCTGGCGGCCTTCAAAGGACACCATGGACGGCAATCCATCTCACAGGACCAAGCACACCTTGCTATCTCTATGCAACATGTTGTAGAACCATCTAGTCACCTTGCAAAGGCCATCTAAAGAAGAGAGCGGTTACCACCCTTCATCCGGGCTCGGCAAAAGAACGTTTCTAGTCCCAAATCTGGTCCCCACGAGTTCCCCTCCTTCATCTGGCTCTGTCTCTACATGGGGAAGCCTCGGAAACAGAACAAACGGGGACGGTGTCTTGTTTTGAAGGTACGCCCTTTTGGTGGTTTTAACAACAAACCAACCGGAAAACCACCATTTCGGGGGTCCCCTCAGAAAGACACACCCAAATGAGTAGTTCCCCTCCCAACCCCAAAAGAGGTGACCCAAAAAGTTGATACACCTATCCACCCGAATTGGTTTAACGAGGACTACTTGCCTGCACGCGGAGGCCCCGCCACCCCGTCGGTCGGGCCTCTTTGGCGGGGTCGGACATCATCCGCAGCTCGGCTTCCAGCACCGCCGCAAGCACCTGGTGTCTCACCTGCGGCACCTGGCCGCAAGGCTTTGTTTTTAGGGTGGGGTTAGAGGGGTTTAGACTGGTTTAGGTTGGTTTGGGTATGTTTAGGGTTGGATTACGTTTGCCTTAGGGTATGTTTAGGGGTGGGTTTAGGTTTGCCTTGGGGTATGTGGTTTAGGGGCGGGTTTAGGGTTAGTTTGGGCTTGGTTTAGGATGGAATGGGCTTGGTTTCAGGTTGGTTTAGGCATGGTTGGGCAAATTTAGCGGTGGAATCATTGTTCTGGGCCAGACTTGGACTATTCATGCGAATTGGGCTATGCAGGGTGCTGATTGATTTTGAAGGGCAGAACCCCACACCAAACCAATTTGTCAATGACACTGACAGTAAACGATGATGGAAGGTCAACTGACAGTGTGTGGTCTCATTGCCACCCAGGCCCAAAACGGTTTGTTAGGCAAGGCTCAAACAGGACGATGACCTCGTCATTGGCCTGGCCTTGAGAATCAAACTGCTCCACCAGGCACCTGGGCAGCCTTTGCGACGACGCCCAGCGCAGTAGCACATGCGCGCCCAACTCCCCTTCGTGGCCAAGCCCTGCCGATGCTGCCCAGGCCGCGGAAGCAAGGCTGCGCCTTTCTGGCGTCCCGGAGCTCCGGATCACAAGCCCTGTCTTAACTTCCATGCGCGCGACGTCCTAGCTGCCAGATCGCAAATGCGCCTGCGCCCGAACCCCAGCTGGGTGCTGGCAGCGTACGCCTTGTACATTTCCGCCGGCTGGACATCAGAGACCAAAACGTCCCCTTTGGTCAATCATCGGAGACACCCAATAATTCACCGTCCGCGCCTATGTTTGGTTGTGATTGTCTCTTCTTGCTTGCCTTCTACCGGGCTTGATTGTACCTTGTCCCACCTGTACGGCCAGCGCTGGTTTTTGAGGGTCCCTGGCTGACCCGACCTTTCTGCCCCATTTGGGGTGCGTAGGTGGGACCCTAGAGTACAGGCAAGGAAAGAAGTTTGGAGTGGCCAAGAAAGCTTCCACACCTTTTAAGGTACCAGTCAAATTGTCCAAACCCAAAAGGTATCAAGTTCGAACAATTTGGCAATGAAGTTGATGAACCTTTCAACTAGGGGTACATACCATTGGATGCATGCAAACAGACGCGAAAACTGTATAGTTCCACAAAATGGGTCTTCCCAGAGAGCGTCAACACCACAAATCTCCGTGCAATATTACCACAAACTGATAGGGGACCACCCTGGACTGCTCATCAGCCGGCAACATACATAGGCAAGACGGGAAGAATCTGGCCTGGCCCCATATGCCCTGCAAAAGTTTAACTTTTGGTGGCCCAAATTGGAAACCCAACCACTAAACCCTAAAAACCTAAAAACCTAAGGGGACGGCTGGGAACCAGCAAGGTGTGTGGCTCAACATGCCCAGAAAGTGATCAGTCTGTTCAAAGGCAACTCTAAAAAAACAAGAATCCATCGAGGTGGCACCCACCCCAACAGGGTACCCTCATAAACTCACTTGCTGAGTGGATGGCCCCAAAAAAGTCCACTAAAATGGTCCTCCCAAAAAGTTTAAAGTTCATGTACTCAGGAAGTGAGGAAACCCAAGAAGAATGTGGGGACCCATTCTCAACAAACCCATCCCGCGCATTCGAAGCACAACCCCCCCCCCGGCTCGGATTCTCGGGGCGCGCACATCCCACAGGTTCTCCGCGAGCACTCGGACCTGCGTTTCGAAGGGCGGATTTAAATGGCGCGTCTTTCCTCAAGGGGATCCTGCCAGGTTTTCTTTCGGTTTCCCTCTAAAAAGGGTTTCCCCAAAAACAAACCCAGGTATTGCGGGTTCCACGCAAATCGTGCGCAAGTTGGCAGGTGGTTTAAGCCAGTGTTTGCGGACCTTCATCGATTCGAACTGGTGTTGGATGTTGTCCATTCACAGTATCCTAACATCCCCATGGAATTCTCCAAATATCCCCTCAAAATTGTGCCGCCGGATACCTGCCTTAGCGTTTACCCCCAACACAAAATGAAACTCGTGCGCATTGGGTCCGTGCTTAGTGATCCTTTGAACACACATGTGTCAACGGAGATCCACAACATCCGGACAAATTACTATGAATCCGAAACAAAAAACATCGACCTCCCTCCGGACCTTCATCAAGGGTGAGATCGATCGTTTAGCCACCGGTTCGGTTGTAGCTGTCCCAGTAAGATTGGGCCAGGGCGGTGAAGAGCAAACTACTGTACCCTGACACGCTGACATGGAGCCTTTGTGTACTTGAACATATTTCTCCAAAGGGGGCCCTTTGGATGGACGGAATGGAGGAGTATGAAATATTGTGGAATGGACTAGTAGTATCCACTTTAAATAATAATACTAATAATAGTAATAATAATAATAATAATAATGATAATAATGATATAATAATAATAATAATAACAATAATAATAATAATAATAATAATAATAATAATGATGATAATAATAATCATAATAGTAATAGTAATAGTAATAATACTACTAATAATAATAATAATAATAATAATAATAATAATAATAATAATAATAATAATAATAATAATAATCATAATAACATAATAAAAATAATATTAATAATAATAATAATAATAATAATAATAATACTAATAATAATAATAATAATAATAATAATAATAATAATAATAATAATAAATAATAATAATAATAATAATAATAATAATAATAATAATAATAATAATAATAATAATAATAATAATAATAATAATAATAATACTGAGCTAAATTCACGCATCCCGCTGGAGTCATCAAATCCAGTGTGTGTCTGTATGTGTGTTTTAAGGGAACTGTCAGGTGGCCCGCAAAAACAACAAGCAGCCCACTGGGTCTTAGGCAAACCTGCGGAATACCAACGGGCTGCAAAGAGTCTCAAGCTCAAAAGAAGACTCACTAGGGCCACCCCTATTTCTTCGCAAACGATTGCTGGAAACCTGGGCTGGGTGAGAAGGATGAAAGGAGAGCAACCTGTACAAGACAAGAGCTTTCCCACGGTCCTAGAGCCATTTCGGGCCAGCCTTGAACATCAACCTGTAGAACCAATAGTACTCTACCCCGGAAGGAAAATCCTCTGGACCCCTGATTAGACCCCCTGACTATTGAGTGGGGGCGGGGGCATTATCAATATTCTCCCTGGGGGGCAGTGGTTTGCGGAGTGCAAACTGGCTAGAGATGATGAACGGAATCACCACAAACCATCTGGGCAAATAATTATAGTCCATCCACCGGAAATAAGGCATCCCTATGAAAGAAACCTTAATTGCGGGTGACGTCGCACACCCCCTAGTGACGCCATTATTTGTCAGAACTACCTGCGAAGCCTATGTATGCCAAAGAGCCGTCGAGCAACAAGCACCAAATGTTGGTCATTTGTTCGGGGAGAAACGTTGTTTGGAAACAAGTGTGTTTGATGTTTTTCCTTTTGGTGCGGAAAGGTAACCTTGCACATCTAAGATTTCCGGACTTGTCCACCTTTTTCGGTTTGTGTCCGCCTTTGTTCCGGCTTTGTCCGCTTTTGTTTTGGCCCACGAAGCTCCAAAACGGTCGACATCTGGAAAAATGCCGTTTTGCCCAAAAATAGTTCTTGTTCTCGACGAGGGCCACCAAAAAAAAGAAACGGCTTCGCGGGTATGAACCTGTCAGCCGCGGCTCTTCAAAATGCAAGTGATGAATTTGTATGCCGCATTGTTGAAGTGGCCCACACCGAAAACAGGGTTCCCCGTTTTGCCCCCAAACATCGCCCAACATGTTGGCAACAAGGAGATATCTAAGACCACACAAAGGGGGACAATACGGACCGGACAAGGAGCAAACATTTTAATTTGAAGGCACCCTCCCGCCTCTTGGCAAGCGGCATTGGCTTCCCCGACCTCACTCCGAGGGGCTTCATAAGAGGTATATACTGTACAAGCTTAGATTGGTGGTAGCCTCCATACCTGGAAAGTCCCTATACCTTCTCAATGAAAGGAACTTGAAATCCGCTTGAACAAATACACTAAATACACATCGCCTGTGGGGTTTAAATCCGAAACGATGGGCTATTCAGCAGAAATAAAGGAGGTACACTGTCAGGCAACAGGGCGCAAGATAAGTTCTGATCTTTATCTTGCTTTTCCTGAATCTCGATGTTTTTTGCTTGAAGTCGCCCCAAACTACTAAAACTCCTATATGTTCGAGAGATGTCAGAATTGGTCCCTTTTCACATTTTCCCCGCCCGGAATTGCCCGCAAAACACCCGCAAAACGCCCGCAAACGCCCGCAAAACTCCGCAAAACACCCGCAAAACGCCCGCAAACTCCCGCAAAACTCCGCAAACACCCGCAAATCAGAAAAAGACGTTTTGGGGTTCGGGGGTCGCCCAAAACTGATAGAAACCATTTAGAACGTCCAAAGCACCCAAAACTACCAGGAAACCAAAACGCTTAGGAGAAGGCCGGAGAATGAATCTTCACGTGGGATGTATTCGGATTCCATAGCGAAATGTAGACTAGCATCCTCCCAACAATGAAAAAAAAACTATACCATTCGGCTTTGCTTTATGCCAACAGTCAACCATGCAACACCTTAGAAGCTGCGAAAGCTACCAACCTCCCCCCAAACCAATCCAAACCACCGATTGGGGAGTCCTTATCAAGGAAGCTACCCCCTCTAACCTCCGTCGAGTAAGACAAATGATCTACACGTCCATGAATCGAATTTCCCCCAGCAACCATAACAACAGCGCGTTGCCTGAAGGAAACAACCAGGCGATGTTCGACATGGCAATGCTGATACCCATCTCACTCCCCATTCCGCAGGCCTCCCCCAGCAAACGCCAGCACTTTGTCCACCAATTTCCCGACAGGGACACTGCCCATCATGGTAACCTTGGGGGACCGCAAGTCTGATTTCTCTGCCACAATCCGGAAAGGGCAAGGCACGACTTCGTTCCCGCTTGCCCAAACGTCGTCCATGGCGCCCGAGTACTCGGAGGTGACAAAATTGTGGAGTTCGTCCGAGCCCGCGGGTCGAAACAGACAGACCGAACAACTCGGTCTGCATCAGAGGCTTCTCCTTCATCTCTTTGCATTCGTCAGGATCCACCCCAATCATCAATCCGCAATTCCTCCCCGGCCCTTTGAAAGCTTCGAAGGCAGCCTCGCTCCGTTCACCTTGTGGTAGTTGTGCTCGCCTTCGACTCTTCCAACCTGCCCCATGGCCCCATACTGGACCCCTTAAACGGTTGGTTATTGTTTTGGGTTCCCTTTTCAAAATATACCAAGACGGGGGCCACCATTTTGAGAAACACCCAAGAAACCTTCATCCTGGGCCAGTTCGTGTTACCTGCTGGGATCGCTGAGCTCGCTAGACATCAGGCTTCCATATCAGTTGGGGGGAGGGGGGTATCAAATTCAGATAGGGGTGGGTTGCTTTCCCCACTTCCTGAAGGGATGGCCCAGAAAAGTCCGAACTGTTTTTTGCGACTTCGAAAATGTAACCATGAAGCCAGCAGAGCCAGTTGAACAAAACGCCAGTGAGAGGGCTGCTTCAAGCCACTGGCTTGGGTCCGAAGTGGTTGGGGAGGGGATTGGTATGTCCCTTCTAAACATCAAGAGAACCTCGCTCAACAGCGGCCCAAACTTGTAACGCATATTTGGATACAGCTAATATCACCACAACCCTAATTGGTGGTTTGGATTGGTGGTTTGGTGGTCAAAGGGTGATCTCACATTTACCCTCTGCAGAAGCCAGGGGTGCAAATCCCAAAACTAATCCAAACCACCAATTGTCCGGCTACCTGAAAATATGTGCAACTCACGTACTCAACCAAAGATGGCCAAAAAGGCGACGTGTTAGCGGTTGGGAGTCGGGCCTTGGATCCAATCAGCTCACATAAATTGGCAACCTGAAGCCCAGCTATCACAGCCATTCGGGGGGCCCAAAGAAGTCCAAAGTGCTTGCTCCCTGCTAAATTTGTCGCCAAAATAATATGTTTTCCGCTTGATAAACCCGTGCTATTTCCTTTTTTTCGGGGTTGTTTCTCATGAACCCCACTTCCTCTCCAAAAATCATGAACCGCCACTAAAAAGCGAAAAGAGGGCACTCTATTTAAAAGACAGGGGCTTTACTTAGGTCTGGGGTTCCCATTCAGGAACTCGAGGTCTCTGGGGCAACGGCCGCGGCTTTCTCTGCAAGCAGCGTGGTAACCAACCTTCCCACATCCTCTCCAGGCCTCGAATCTATTCGAGCCATGTGAATTCGACGGGGACAGGGCTCACCATATTTCCCTGAACCTGCTCCCCGCCGAAACTCACTTTGATTTGGGCCCGAAAGGTGATGTTTAACACCACTAAAAGGACAAGTTGATGGGGAACCCGGCCAATTGGCTTATTTGTGCCCAGGCAATCGTTTGAGGGGTTTGGGGAATAAACCAGAAATTGTCGAACAAAACATTCAAATGGGTTTTGGGAATGACACGGAGAAGTTCTGCGGGCGTTGATCTAACGAACTAGGCCCCAGGACCCTGAGCATCATGATATGGTACTTCCGAAGATCCCTGGCACAGGGGGGGAGATACCGAAGGAAACACAAACTTCCCCAAAAAAGCCAACAAGAAGGCCTTATTGGATCTTAGGGGGTCCACTCTTGAGGTTTAGATCATCGGGCTTGGAGCCAGCCTGTAAACCACCCGAGAAAAGCCCTCCACTCCAACCCCTCCGCTTGCTTTCCTTGTACCAAGACGGGAAAACATGCAAGGGTACCTTTCTAAGTCTCCATCCTTTCGCCGAATCCTGGCCCACGGCCTTCTGTACGCTGAAAATTTGGCTTTCAGATTCTGTTGTCATATTCGAGGTTACCTGAAGTAGAACATAGTTTTGGCCCCAGCAATGGGATCTCTGGTGTCCCTTTTGGTGAGATTCCGACGATTTTTGGATGGGGTCTACTTAGACCCAGGTTCAACATCGACGTGGGTGTGTCATTTTCCGAGGGTACCAATTTTGGATTAGTTTACGGGGAAACTAAAAGGACACTCGCCATTTTCTGGGTTACCCTATTTTGTTAAAGCCCAAATCAGTTTCCCAAAAACTGGTGGCTTGGATTGGTGGCTTGGAGGTGAGGGGCTGTGTTACCACTTTCTCTTCAATTCCAAAACCACCGATTGAGGGTTGCCGGAAATGCTACGGATAGACAATATAGAATCCATCTCGCACCAAACGGGTGAAACTGTTGAACATACTGATTGACAAATAATATATCAAAAGTTGTTCTTCGCTACTAAAACTGAAATTACGCTATTAGTTGTTTTTGTTCCGCTATTGGGTGACCCACTCGGTTTTGGGTCACTGCTCATTTTCACCTTCACAAACCTTGGTATAGTTGCAACAAACTGTGATTTTTGCAGCCCCCTACTACAATGAACAGAACCACAAAACACAAACAAAACCAAACAACTTGCCAAGACCAGTGAAGTTTGGATTTCCCAAAACAACAACAACAAACAACCTAAACATTGTGACTCACAATGTAAACAAAAACATAAAAAAAAAATAACAGAACACCCCAAACAAACTAAGACACAAAGAACGAACAAACAAAAAAGCAAACAAGCAAACAAACAAGCAAGCAAGCAAGCAAGCAAACAAACAAACAAACAAGCCTGCCTGGACCTTGCGAGTCACAGAAGCAGACCGCCCTCCCGGTACCTTTTTTTCTAGGTGTTCCGGGCGCGAGAGATCTCAGCAAAGCCACGAGGCGCTCCTGAGCCAATCCGGAGTCCGGTTGAGCCCGGGGTTTCTGCCACACGCTCCGCCTGGGTCTGTCCCTTTTTTTGTGGAGGGGGATCCCCCCCAAAAGAAAACAATGGCAGGTGTCCCGCAATGTCTTCTTCGTCCACTTCCTCTTGCAATTGGTTGAGGCTGCGCTTCAAGTGGTAAACTCTACCTTACGGGCAAGAGATTTGCCACTCGCGCACAGTCCACTCGGTCTCCCCCTTGTTTTGCTAGCCTGCGGGATTGCAAGGTCTTCCTCATAGATACGTGATGGTGGTAGTCCATTTGGGTTTCAACCACAAAAACCAGGGCAGCCTCAACTTTCCCTCATCGGTCGCTTTACCTTGGTGCCCATCTTGAACCAAAAAAACCGGCAAACTGAATGAAAACACTTTGGAAGGACATCCGAGCAGTGACATGCTCACTTCAACAAATCGAAAATACGCAGAACTCGAAGAGCACTTCAACATGGCTCCCTGAAAGATACGATCCAACATGACACGGTTCACTAGGGAAGCCTCGAAAGCTGGCACATGTGATATCAAGCATGGCAACAAGGCATCCCTTCGGCAACCCAGATGATTCAACGGTGATGCCAAACCCCCAGCCGCCATGGACCTTTTGCAGGCAGTTATTTTTACAGGTAAAACCCCTTCAAACAAACGGAACAAAAGGCAGCACTTGCGTGTCTGGGTACTAACCTGGGGGCATGCCCCAAGAATGCCTCCCCTTTGAACTAGCCCAGGGCTATGCAAAAAGGAATTGGAATACAGATGCCTACTGTCCCGGATGCAAGTAAGCCAGTCCGCAATTGGCTCCGGCACGTACACCAGCCCGGTATGACTGCGGACCCTAATCAGAAGCTAGTACGCTGCACATGTTTTCCAACAGCTGAAATAGGGGATCGCCAAGTGAACTCGGTTGCTTTCTGCCCCGCTGCTAAAAGTTTAACTTTTAGTGGTTTAATGGAAAACCCATTAGTTGTCAAAAAAAAAAAACAAGTCCTAACATCCAAGCAAAATGCACCAAAGAAAAGGACAGTGATATGAAGTGAGCTCGTTTTACTCTCTGAGCATGTCATTGGGCATATTATTGCTTGAATGATGGGTCCAGGAGGGCAAGCCTCAGCTTTGTGATGAAACTCATGCTCGAACTGGCAAATCCAGCTTCATGGATTTGTTACCCTTTGCGGGTGCGTGTTGAGGGCCCCATCTGCACACACATATAAGCCACAAATAATACGCATGTTTCTTGAAAATACCCATCGTGCGTTATCTGGAGACAAACATGAGATTGTGATACAACTGGTTCATCTGGGTATCGTCCCGTCTCTCGGGAAAACAACACTAAACCAGGCAGTTGGGTAATCTCCGACAGGGTTCCTCTGAGCAGCACCCCCACCAGAAGGGAACTCCCACTTCTTAGTGGAATTTAGGCAATCTAGGCCCTGCCACTTGTGCCCTTTCATCATTCAAGTACTACCCTCCCATCATTCATGCATAATCACAGATTTCTCAAACAGTCAAAGGTTGAAGAGCTGTGAATGTTGCACCCCACCAAAACGACACTCGCTTCAAACTGGCCAGGGGGATGCTTAAACTTTAAACCAACCCGCAGACTTTCTGTTGGGCTCTGAGCAGCGCGCGGCGGAGTTGGGCGCCTCTAAAAGTGCTGAAAAAGAACAACTCGGATGGGTTGGCCTTCGGTATCCTGGCTCCAAACACCAACTTTCAGTGTGGAAAGGCCAGCCGGTAAAGGAAAACAAAAGGAGCCCCGGCTGGTGGTTTTGAGTGTATCTTTGACACACCTTGAGCACAGGATGGCAACACCTCTGAAGGGTTCAAAGCCATGCAAAAAGTGGACCTTCAAAACAGACACCCTCCATCCTTGGGTGCCCATTGGTGATCATTTGTGCGACTTTTACCTTCTAGAGAACTAAATATCCTCCCAACGGAAGCTCTCGAGGGACGGGAGACGTTTGAAGCAGAAACCAAAAGGGAAACCACATTGTTGGGAGTTGGGGGGTCCCCTGAAAAAAGACACTCCAGGATTGGTCATGGTGACTTTCCAAGCGCCCAGTTGCCCGGTGCTCCAAAGAAAAAGAAAGGATGCCACTCAACTGGGACATTGAACGGTATCTCAGAACCATCAAAAACCAAAAACATGCCAACATGAAGCGGTCTCCAACATTCCAAGTTTGGAAGGCCCAAGAAGTTCAGTTTGCTCGTTGGTGGAAGGTTACAGGTATTGATGAACTATCACAGAGTCGCGGGCTAAGTTGCTCCCCCGTGACAAGAACCTTCTGTATGTTTGATGAAAAAGCCATACGTTTCCAAAACGTCTAATGGGCGGTTCGCTCACACCAAAGACCAGCCAAAATGACCATCCCCTGCCATAATAATTCTGATAGAACTTGGCTTCTGCGACACCAGCGAAATGCAACAAGTGCACGGAATGAGGAGATTGAATAAACCCGGACAATTCCCAAAAGCATCAACCACACTAAGGGTCATGATCCCTCAAATGCAAACCCCTGCACCATCCAATGAAAAACCACAGGGCCCTCAAACACAAACCACCGTGAGGCCCCAAACACAATCGGGACCCTTATGGCAGTTGATTTATCCCGAGTTTCCACTCATGTAAATGTCGGATTAATCCGGACATTTCTGATCAGGGGTTCGTCTTTTAGTCCGGCACTGATTCATTTTGGGGGTTCTGACTAATTACCAGAGTTCTCCGGATTGATCCAAATCTAATTCCTAACTTCCCACTGACTGGGGAAACGCGACAACAGCAACTTCCAGCGACCCACAGATTTTATGGCAACTCAGTAGAGAGGAGAATGGATGTCATACTGTGGATGCACGCAATCCGTTCGCACCACTTAAAAGCCATGGTTGAAACCATTGTCTGTCTGTATTTACGTTGGGAAATGGAATCATTCCAGGGTTTCTGAGGCGGTGCGAACAGATTTCGCCCACCATCCACAGTATTCATAAGGGGTGGTTCCTCCCAAAGTGATTTTTACTCCCCACCAAAAAGGGACACACCCATCTCTCAAAGTCAACCAGTTGTTTAAAAAATACGGGGTTCCCAGTAGTTTATCAGTAGGAATCGGTCCGATCTCGAATCCCGAAACGGAACGATCCCGAACGCCTGGTGGCTCAAGGCCAGGCAGGCCTGGGACGCAGAAACGAACCCACTGCCTTTTACCCTGTCGTGTACTTGTTTCGGGTTTGCTAGCCTTTGATCTGGCTCCACCAAAGCACACGAACAAACTCCTGTTTGTATTTATCTATCTATTATTAATATCGTCATTATTATTGTTACTAGTACTATTGCTATTATAATTACTATTTTATGATTATTATTTTTATCATCATTATTATTACTATTGTTATTAATATTGCTGTTCTTGTTATTTGTGTTATTGCATATATATATATATATATAATGTTTTTTGTTTGGGGGGGACGAAGAGAATAGCAAACCACCAATCCTTCGTTGAAGGTCCGGAGTCCGGAGTCACGGCGATGCGAAGGCTTCGCCAGTCACCGTCAAAGGCATATATCAACGCACGAGCGAACCCTGTCCGATGGCCGGGGACATGACCTCACGTTTTGTGCTGCGCCAGTTCCCGCTTAGGTTACGCGCACCGCACATCAGGAAGCTCTGTCATGAACAAGCCGGAATTTGTCAGAATACATGTGTGCAACCCATATTTAGTGCTACTGGAAAGGATTAACTAGGCCGTTCCTATAACTCTCGCTGGACATTGACACTGTTTTCGTCCGGCAAAAACACACCGGGTCCAACTGAAGGGATCACCGAAGTAGCTGCCGGGGAAGATCCCCGATTCTGAGCAGCATCTACGTTTAACCGCCTACCTGTTTTTTAAGCAACAAAAAGAGAGAGAGGGAGAGAGAGCGAAAAGAGCTTCTGGGGGCCCCGGTTCACTTTGGACATTGACAAGGCAACACTCGGGCCAAGCCGAAGGCCATGCCAAAAGGGGGTTGTCGTGTGTGCAACCTAGACATCCCCATCGGATCACTTTCGGGGGTGTCCATACCACAGGACAGTTGCTGAAGCTCCGTCCCGATGCGTCGATGCTTAGACTCCAAAAGCTCCGGCGAGTTCAACCCTTGGGTCAAAATTCAAAACCGAACAACGTCGAAGACCCACCTGCAATTTGTACTATCATTCCAAAAGCTGAACCAAGGGATCCCCAGGTAAAGGACCTTAATCATGTTGAGCTCGTTGTCCCCCTAGGTGAGCTCGCCATAAAGTCGGCAGACCTATGCCCTTCTACACAGGCCCGAAATCAACTATAGGCTTGCCGGGGTTGAAAACCAATGTCCGTTATCATGGCAACCGCTCTGCGCTAACCCTTGAGCCCCCAACCATTGGGATCCGGCGCATTTAGGGCGACGTGTCTATCACCCCTTGGATGCAAACGCCCAAGTCTAAACTTCTTCTCTGCCACCATGGTCTTCCCAAAAAGTGGCAAGGTCCACACACTCGTTCACGGAACGCCCCGCAAAAAAAAAGCAGCGAGGAATGGAGCTCGCTTCCTGGATTCTTTGCTTATCAAAAGTCTAAGCACTTGGTGGACAAGTCAACGCGTTTCATTACACATGCCTGAGCTGATTGAATGGTTCGCGCTGAGATGCAAAGCTTGCTTGGGACAATTGCTGTGAGGATGCGAGGCTACTGATTTCGGGGTATTCCTATTTGGAGAGATGCCCGAGTAAACCGCACATGCATCCCTGGCAGTGGACCGAAACCGGACGACGCATCTCAGGCCTCTTTTTTTCGAAACCTTGGCAATTCAGATTGTGCCATAGCCGCGGCCCAAAACTCATTGGAGTTTGCGCTACATTTGTCAAGGTTTCTATCGACCGTACTGCAATGCCCATTGAACAAGCAACATTCCCTTCCCCCCCACGTTGCCATGGCACTTGTGGGAGGCTACCTGTGGGAGGGTACCTGTCGGAGGGTACCTGTGGGAACCTGGAAGCTCAGTGTCCTACTTGCCAGATGCCATGGCCCTAGCCGGAGCTCGGATTTGGGCCGCGCCAGGCCGGCACCTTGAGGCTTTGGGCGCCAAAGCGTGCAATAATAACATGGCAGCTATCAGCTGAAATGGATCGTGCCGTCCGGGCAAAAAAAGAGAGAAGCACCCGGCAATTCCCCAAACGAAAGTCTCAAGGCAAGTTAGTCAGTGGGTAAGCCACTGTTGGTATAGGTGTCCTCTTGATGCAAATAAATGGCCCTGGCAAATGGAATAACGGGTTGGGGTATTTGGGGTCTGATCACATGCTCCGAAAACCTTGGACAGGTGTTATCCTGAGATTGAAGGTAGGAACTTCTGGTTTGCTAACATGGCTTTTCTAAGTATCAAGTCCAGCCAGGGACTAAGGAAAGGATACATGTACATACATGTACATCGAATACAGTTTATATATATACATATATACATGTATATGTATAGCATTAAATTAAATGATATGTGTATATATATGATATTATTTATATATACATACATATATATATACATACATATTTATTTATTCATTTTTGTTTTGGAGCTCTTTGCCGGGGCGACCTCTCGTTCTACAGGCTGCCAGCGGCCGCCATGCACTGCCTCGCCAGGTCGCGGTCGGCCAAGACCTCCGCCTCCACCTGCCGCAGCCTGCGACCCGCGAGTCGTAGGAACCCGAAGAGGGCAGGTCAGTAGAGACTACCAGAATGAGTCGAAGAAACCCGAAGAGCGCAGGTAAGTATTGGAACTATTAGAATGGAGTTTGCAGAAAAAGCATGTGGCAATATTAAAACACATAGATGGGCCATGCTTCAAACAGTGTGTGTTCTGCACAACATACACATCATGACAACCCGTGCAAGGTTTGGGGCCTCTTCGAGGCCTTTTTGCCTTTTTCCCAACTGAAAGCGTTTTGGGGTTGACAGGCCCAAATAAGTTTTGGGGTGGTTCCGGAGGGTTTCAGTGGATTGCTGTTGGGGATACCACCTGGTTATGTCTATGAATTTTCATGGAACATACCATAACTGGCGAATATCAAGCTCAGGCACTAGTTGGTCGGTTTATTGACTAGCATTCATAGTGATTCATTGTCATCCATCCCAACTGATGCAGGAATTTGGACCATCCACAGCATCCTCTTTCAACATTACACCGCCCAACAATTCACGATTTACATTGAAGACCAGAAAGGTGATACTCAGAACCACCCAAAACCAGTTGCCCAGTTGCGCGGTGACCTGAAAGGTGGCCAAAGAAATGGAACCCTTTTTGAGACTAGGACCATTCAGATTGGCCGACCAAACCAAAAGAGATTTAGAGGCTGCCACTGAAAAACGGGCAAAGTTTTCTCGACAGACCTCTAGACAGACTGCCAAAGCAGCAGAAATATCCTGTTAGCAGGGGCTTATTGACAAACATTGCTTAGTGGTTCCGTGATCGCTATAAAAACTGAAGTTGATTTCGTGTGAGTTTGTATTTGGGGCCTTCTCCTTCTTTCCCGCCCAATAATAAATCGCTGCGTCGAACAAACACTTTGCGCTATCGCAAAGGCAAAATGGGAAATCAAGTGAGTCCCCAACTTTCTGTGGGACAATGACATGTTTTTGCCTGTTCCATGTCTACAGGAGAGAAAACAGTTGCAGTGTGGCCCAAATGTGTCTCATATTGCCCAACAGAAGTAGCCTCAAAGTAATTTCAATGCCACTGCTATTAATCCTAGCAAAACCTATCGTTCCTTCATACTTTGCATGGACCAAGTCCATTTCGCACCAGTTGGGAGGTGGCGGTATCCCCCGTTATTTTTGTTGTTGTTTCTTTTTGTTTTAAGCCGGGAGGTTCCCCTAACACGAGCACGAGCCGGCCAGTTGGTCTTCCCTTGCGAGAGGTTCGGATCTCTGAACAGGAGCACCACTGGCCTGCAAATCTCTAACTCCCGAGCCCCGAAGGGCAGCTCCCAAGTGGCCACGGAGAAAAAGAAATGTGGTTCTCCCCAAAAACAAACATAGAACCTGCGCAGACGGCCATTGTCTTTTTTCAGACCCCGGGACCCTGTGGTTCTATGTTTCTTTTTCGTGGAGGGTAGCCGGGTAGTTGCTTCAAAAAGACAGGCGCCAGATGCACAGGTTCCTGCCCTGTGGTTCCATGTTTCTTTTTTCGGAGCTGTTTTCAAACAAGTCAAACAGATGCAACCAACTGTCCATGAAAACGAATGACACCTTCCCGCATCGTCCCAGTTGCTTCTCCCTGCTGGCTGCGCTCAAGGTCAGCGACGAGTGAACCTTCCAGGCTGGGATTCTCTGATAGTGGAAGGGACCCCTGAACCCCCTACCCCAAGAAAGGGAAATTCAGGGACCCTGAAAATACCCACTTCTTGGGCAGGTCTTGAAAAAGCAAGGCAAATACCTACCCTTCTTTTGTCAGAGGTCGACATCATACCCTACAAAACAGTGGGTATTTGCAGTAAAAGGTATAGTGAACAATCTGTTAGCACATGGACTAAACTCGCCAGTCATTCTGGAGGTTGCTCCTCGACAAAAAGGAAGACAGTAAATAAAACAGCCATTTGTTTTTTGGGCCGTCCCGCCCCCCAGTTGTGGGGTGGGTGGATCGATCCTTTGCAGGCTTTTCTGTCGAACGCCCAAGCTAAGAATTGAACACCTGGAAAACAGAAAAGGTTCCTCCTGGGAGGTTGGGATCTGTACAAAGGCCGTTTCTTACTCTGCAAAAAACAGCTACAGCATGGTGAGCTTATTTGAATTCGCGAAACGATCGCAAGTTGGAGGGGAATCCGTGAACAAGGGGCCCTGCCCTTTGATTGTTGGGACCGTTCCCCCCCCCTTCCGCGCCTACCTCTATATACTTAACCGAGGGAAAACGGCTGACCAAAGGATAATACACCGATATCCCTCCAGTGGCTTCAGGGTGGAATTTGTGTCCTATGTCAAAGAATCCCCCAACCTGCAGGTGGATTTTCAGTAGAAAGAAGGCTTGTCACTCTTTGTTGGTTCGTTGAGTGAATAAATTAACTTCCATGGATTGGCCGAGCTCCCAATCTGTTTTTCGCCGAAATGGTCCACACCAAGTGACTAAAGCTCCAAAACGGAACTCAGTGAGCAAAGGAGTAAAGGCACCCCAAAAC